ATTTATCATACTAGTACAATTTAATAATAAATGCAACCATAAGAAAATAAAGCTCAAATATGCACGTTGGCTCTAGGACTATGGAAAAAAGCTGACGATCTTCAAACGTCTTAATAGATTTAAATGAATCATAGCTCGTTTGAAAGCTACGATGCCAAAGACAGACATACAGTCATTGAGATACAGAGGAGATGCTTAAGTGGCCGCATCTTTTCAATACATTTTTACGTCATATGTCAAATTCTAGAGTCAGTTTGGTGATAATAAATGCCATTTTTTTTAAATAGCTTCGTTTAAATAATATAAAATAATTTTCATTCCGTCAGTCTTCAGATATAAAATTATTGATTTCAAATAAATCAAAGTATGACTCAAGTCGCCATTTTCATTACACTTTTCCGTCATTTGAAGTGCGTCCACTTTTTTCTATCTCGATGCATACAGTTAAATACATTAAACACTCGTTTTTTGCGCCGGGGATTAAAAATAGAGTATTCTGAAATGATTCGAAATGTCTCGTTTACGTTCGGTGCGAGGGTAGTGCTCCGATGCCGGCCAGTATGACTCAAGTCGCCATTTTCATTACACTTTTCCATCATTTGAAGTGCGTCCACTTTTTTCTATCTTGATGCATACAGTTAAATACGTTAAACACTCCGTTTTTTGCGCCAGGGATTAAAAATAGAGTATTCTGAAATGATTCGAAATGTCTCGTTTACGTTCGGTGCGAGGGTAGTGCTCCGATGTCGGCCTGATGCTCGTATCACATTAAAGGAAATGTTGTTAACTTCTGGATGTCTACCAATAAATTTTGACGTGAAAATTCTAGTACGTTGTGTTCTAAAATATTTTATCATAACTTTTTGTGAAAAATGCAAAATACAATTATTTACATTATTGGTAGACGTCCATTTATTAGGGGATAACATACTCGTATATACAATCATTTGAAAATGATTTTTGCTTGTACTTTACTTATAGCTTTTTCATAAGATCTTAAATCTAAGAGAGCATACAAATTAATATATTTCTTAAAGTTTCCACTATTAAATGCTTTAATTGTACTCTACGAATCACAAAGCTTTTTGGTTAAACATTTTTCCAAATTCCACAATTCCAATATTCATGTTTCGTTATAAATATTTGATCTTACCTACAACCTTAACATAAAATATTAGAAAAAGAATTGCCAAAGGATAAATTATCTGACCTACTCTATATATTGGAGGTTTGGATCTTAAAATTATGGACAATGAGAATAGAAATAATGGAAACGTAGATACATTGTCGCATGTTGAACCGTGGGTTGCTAGTCGTACAAATGAAACGTTAACTGTCTGCTAGTGTAAACTAAAAAAATATTTAGGACATATTATACTCAGAAAGAGTGGTAACAATTACTATAAGTAATATTAAATATACAAAGAAACGCGAACAGTAGTATATAATATGTTAACCAGCTAGCCCAGCAAAATGAAGATGAAACGCTTAATATTATTTAAAAAACGTGAGAAAATAAAGAGAGTTGCTCGACTCGCTTATCTGCCTGCCGTGATTGGACGAATGGTTACAACTCTACTGGTAGTGGGATAGCAAGTATGCTCATTTCTATCTATTCAATAGCTGCGCCAATAGCATTGATTTTCTATGCCGTTCTCTGGAGTCAGGAATGAACAGTTAACATATAGTATAGAAAATAAACCTCATCTAACAATGACTAGAATTTTTTTTTCGTAGAGGGATCTGGCAAGAAACAGGTGAAGAAATAAATTGTACGGTGAGGAGCCTTGGTTAACTGTAATGTCACGATTCTTCAGACATGAAGATATGATGAAGTAAAAAAAGATGAAAATACATTTGTCCAAACAATGGCACTGTATAGATGTAAACGGGAAGTAGAACAATCGACGCCATCTTGATGGTAAGATTTACTAACGTCACTTCGCTTCAAGTATTGGTTGAGCCAAATTATTAAGCTTTATCTAAGTATAGAGTCGAGTAAATACAGAATAAACATTTTGGATTATCCATTTAGTGGTTATGTCCGTTATTTGTACATTAATTTTTTGGAACTATTGTTAAACTACTATTTTGATCACTCTCTACTGGAGGGCAGCAGTTATTTAAATTATTTGTTTTTTCAAATTGAAATCATTCAAACCGACTGTTGTTTAGTTTCAGAATCCATCTTGCTTCTTAATGCAGGCTCATATTTTTTAAGAATAACTGTTTTTTATCATGTGACGTTTTACCTTTCAAACATTTGTTATTTCATAAAGTTTGTTTTTGGAATTCATTAAGAAGGATTATGCAGTTATCACGAACATAGATCATAGCCATTTTTAGAAACTTTTTTGACCACACATTTTATTTCTTCAAGATTTATTTTTAGGAGTTTTACTTTTCATCTCTTACATCGTAATAACAAATTATTTTGTTTCCTCCATAGCACATTACGTCCCTAGTTCAGGCATGGTAATATGCTATCCTTGTAAAAGCAGCCAGAGTTGGCCAGAAATCAGCCGACACGCTTAAAATTTGAACGTGAAATATCAAAGGCGCTGCTACCAATTGTATTTATTTCTAGTTTACCTCTATACAGTGACAATGACAACTTAAATACATTATTGATGTTTTTGTTTGACGCTTGTTCTTAATCATAAAAATTGAAAACACATTTCATTTGAAATTAGATTATTAGAATTGTGGTATGTGGAATACAAAAAAAAAACAATATAGAAATATTATATAGTACAGTCAAGCATAGTTTTTTTATTACTTATGCCTGTAAAAATATTTAGCATAATTTAACACATTCTTTATTTATTTCAGGTACCGATTTCGTAAAATCGACTAGAAAATAATAGTGTATTTTTAAAATTTGTTCAAAGCTCAAATGCAACAAAATATGTTGATTTTTAGTACATAATAAATAGGAACCAATATGAAACTAAAGACAACGCGCTCGTTATATAAGAAAAGATAAGGGTACATTAAGTAAAATAATGAAATACAATTATTATGATAGTGAAAAGTCCAGGAAATGCAATAATTCAAAAAATAACCTGATAAAACAGTGAATTATCAAAAAAAAATGTTTTAATCAAAGTTAGAAGGATGATTTATTTAAAAATGTATACAAAACGAATTATAGATGATGGTAGATTTAATCAAGATATCTTGTCAAGCTATATTTTGTTACTAGGTATTTAAATGAAGTCAATTTAGTATAAATTAAATTATGTCCTGTAATTTCTGTTAAAGATATATGTCTGCTACGGATATTCATATTTACATGAAGAAGAATACTATTTTATTTTTGACAGTATTCTAGTGAATTTAGCCGAGGCCAGGAAATCTTGCAAGATGATATTTGTGGCTGACGATGGTTTTATCAAAATACACTGTTTCTGGACTTTTATACATGCAGTTCCTTAACACTACAAGCCTTTAAAGACAAACTACGTGATCTCTGGACTCTTCAACTCGAACGTCACCAAAAGTACCACATAGTGACGTGTAAATTCGTAATGACACAATTGTAAATTTACCATTACATTAATAAACGTATCGATTTTGAAATGTCTCTGATATACTCTTGTTTCATCTCTTTTCTGATAAGCGTATTTTAAACGTTTATTTAAAATGTATAATCATGTTCAGTTTTTTTAAGTCTTCAAGAAAATTCAGGTGCTCAATAAACTTAACCATTATAGTTAATTACCTATAACTCTGCCTTAACTTAACTTTACAGTAAATCTTAGCCCAAGAAAAGGTTGAATTATTACTGAACTTAAATTATATCTATTTTAAAATACACATTTTAACATCAATCTCGAGCTAAATGATAGTAATTTCAAATAAAATCAGTAATTTCTAAATTATCCTATTCTTTAAATAAGTATAAAATTACTCAATGACACTAGCTAGTCAAATGTATCTTTTATAAAAAAAAATAAGAAATCTACTGGACAGACTCTGATAATAGCTTTGTAAAGCCGAAAGATCTCGCCTGGTTTTATTGAATTTTATTTTTTACACACTGACCCGAAAATACACTTTATTTTTCTATACCTATTCAAAAACAGTTTGAATCATACTTGTAAACATAATAGTGTGCGTGATTAGCTTTAGGTTTCCCTTGGCTACGGATACTAAGTCCATTCGCCAGCCCAATAAACATAATAATAAAACCAATAATTGTCAATAAGTTCTGAACAAATAACCAATGTTAACACAATAAATATCATCTCTGAATTCCTGGCTTGTTGAACATTTCATCAAAACTGACTAGTGGTATAATAGTGACACATTAAATTAAATTTAATATCATAAAAAAATATTGATTAATAATTTTAAAAGACATGTTAATAGGTGCTTAAAGACAATCTTCATAAATGATTGTTTTTACTAAAGGAAAAGTAACTATATTTCGTTTTGTCTCTTATGTGTATTTCTTGGACTTTACATTCACGATATATTCATATTATGACTATTGAGTTGATTATAAAAGTGCAAGGTGCTCATTAATAACTATTTTTTTTTTGTTTTAGAAAAAATATACTTAAAAACTAATGGAATCATATTTTATAATTTTTTATATAATATTCAAACAATTATTGTTAATAATACGATCAACTTCAATTTTAAGATAATTACTGACTAGAACTCTTTTCAATTAATACCCACTGGATATTATGTCCACACTACAATAAAATCACCCTCTCGCTCGCAAAATCTAACTAATATGAATATAGATATATATCGTGAATGGATAATAATTTATTGCACTAATTAAAAGTTTAACCTTTTACTTTTCTAAGAACCGAAATTCTTTCTGTTTGATCTTAATTTTTTATCCAGTGAATTAACTATCTATTATTTGGCTATTAAGGCTGCAAAACGTGAAAAAATAAGCCTAGGCAATAACAATGTGGTCGTTATAATACTGAAGATTATTAGTCAATAGACTGAACAATATTATCAACAAATCATCTTAATTAATCACTTTCGTTTTTCATAATGGGAAATAAGTTACTTATACCTAGTACGCTAGTAACCTTATCTTCAGTTTGACTAAAATAAAGCAGGCAGTAATTTCCTCTGCATCGATTCGGTAGATCTGGGAATACAACTTCGTATTTCTTTGAATCCTCCGGTTTTTTGCTGCTGCCACTGCTTTCGTCTGTAGGTGTAGCACATTTGCTTACATATTCGTAAGTTACATATTCATCCAAGCCGGCAAAATTTTCCTAAAGAAAAATATAGGTTTAAATAACCCGTTAGATCAAAAGATAAGTTGGAGGCAATAGGTCTGGGAATTGGTTGAGAACTCTGAATGAAATTTTAGTAATAATTATAGGCAATTTCATGAAAGATTTAAAATTGGCGCTTTATTTATTGGTTGATACAACACGATTTCGTATTTATAAAAACTTATCATAGGGGTACCCACATAAGAAGGAAGTAGTAAATAAGGCCACAAAAGCCCTAATGGTATGCAGAAACATTGCAGGTAAACGATGGGGATGTAACCCAAATATACTGCGATGGATGTATACTGCAATAGTGGGACCAATCATCACTTACGGGGCTATAGCCTGGAGTAACAGAACTAATTTAGCTACTACGAGAGCTAATATCTCAAAGGTACAAAGACTAGCCTGTCTTTGCATTACTGGTGCAATGAGAACCTGTCCTACGGCCGCAATGGAGGTGATCTTAAACCTCACCCCTCTACATTTGATGATAGAGAATGTGGCAAAAAGGACACGATATAGAATGGATCAGGAACGGAGTAATCAGACGAAAGTCCACTTGCTTCAGGACTAAAGATACCTGGTACATGCCCCAGGATGAAATGCTAAAGAAGTACAGTTTTGTGAAAAACTTAAAAGCCACAGAGCTGGGCTGCAAGAAAGAATGGAGCCAAGAATCCATGGCGCTTGCAACTGAAACACGTGCTATTCAGTGGTATACGGACGGTTCCAAAACCAAAGAAAGAACTGGAATAGGAGTGTATGGGACAAGAACCAAGCACTCCGAAAGCTTGGGAAAATACCTAAGCATCTTCCAGGCGGAAATTCACGACATCGAGAAGTGTATCCAGTTTAACATCAAGAGAAACTATCATTGACAAGAGATTATCATCATGTCCGATAGTCAAGCAGCCATCAAAGTGCTGAGCTCTTACGTAATCAGCTCAAAAATGGTCTGGAGATGCCTAGAACAATTGAATGAGCTAAGCGAGAACAAGTATTCGAAATTAAAAATTTAAAAAATCCGACTTCAAAAACGTGCAGATGCCATCACCACATCTTAACCAAATTTATATGGGACCACCCCTGAGGTCCCCCTTACTAACAAAAAAATAATCATATAAATCGGACAAGGTGGTAAAGCATTATCGCTAAACATACATAAAAGAAGAAGAGTTTGAGGATTTTCTCATGGACCCAATTATTAGATTTTGACCAAATTTATATGGGACTACCCCTGAAGTAGCCATTTCTAACAAAAAAAGAATTATTGAAATCGGACACCGTGTTAAAGAATTATCGCTAAACATACATAAAAAAAAATACCGCGACGAATTGAGAACCTCCTCCCTTTTTGAAGTCGGTTAAAAATAGAGTTACTCTCACTTTGGTCCTGGGACATAACGGGGTACAAGGTAACGAGATTGCAGATAGTCTTGCAAGGAAAGGGGCTCAAACACCCTTTGTAGGACCTGAGCCGTTATGCGGTATCAGCACATAATATTAGGAGGGATTAAAAAAGAATTGGGCAGTAGAAGAACCGATAATTGGAACAATCTCTTGGGGCTGAGACAGGCCAAGATACTTCTGGGTGAATATAACCATCTGCCTGCCTGCCTGCCTGCCTGAGGCAAGAACAGGCTAAGTATTGTAACAGGGATCCTTACCGGGCATTGCCGACTAAAAGGACACCTAAGTAAACTGAGAGTAGTAGAGGATAGTGAGTGCAGATTTTGTGAGGAGGAGGACGAAACCTCCATTCACATCCTAACTGAATGTGTAGCACTCCAGAATCCAAGTGCCCTATATCTAGGAGGATATCAAATAGAAGAGGGAAATTTACCTAACTTGAAGCCACTTCAAATCCTACACTTCCTTGAGAAAATAGGATTGTCATTATAGGCATTGATGCATTTCCTTAGTGCATTGGCGGGAGATGGGGGCACAATAGATCTTTTAGGTCGCAGTGCATTAACACCCCATTCTGAACATAACATAACATAGGGGTACCCAACTGTAGGAAGAATAAAACGAAAAGAGAAGAGAAAAATAGTTATTCGTTTAAAAAAAAAAATAAAGTGTTTTCAGCACATCAGATACATTTTGTAATACATATACAGGGTGAGTCGGGAGGAGCGCACCAAACTCTAGGAGTATATTATACACGTGAAAATAATGTAAAACACTCATATGTTCTTATAGTCCAATTAAATAGATCTTTAAATCAAAATTTTGGAGGAAATACAGGAATTTTTGATATAAGTCACTTTAGAGTATTTGAAAACGATATGTAAAAAAATTTTGTTTTTCAGGCACCGGCAAATGTCAAAAAACAAGAAAATAAAGTATTTTTTTAAGGTTATTTAAAAATGGTAGGTGCTATAAAAAAGTTTTTAATAAAAATTGTAAATCATAAAGTTTTACATAAAAATGATATTTGACATTTTTTGCTATTATTAAAACTGACAGAGTTAGGGTGGTTAGAAATTAAGCGGATATATATATGACTTGGAAAAATCATAGCAAGCTGAAAATTCAATGACTTTGTAGTTTTTTTTTATTATTTACTCAGAAAATTATAAATTTATTTTAAGAAAATATTTTGTTTTTGAATTTTAATTTAAAAATTTTCAATATATTATACAAATTTATATGGTAAAAGAAATTTTGAAGTAAACTTATTAGCTTGACTGACATAAAAAATATGGGGAATGAACTAATAAAAACGACATCCCGACAGTTTGGTCCCCACTTAAAGTTCCATTAAATAAATAAAAATAAAAACAAACAAAAAAGAACTAAATAAAAATAAATAATTAATAAATACAAATAGGTAAATTAAAAAAAAATTGAAAATAAGTAAAAATAAACAAAAATAAATAAAAATAAATAAAAATAAATAAAAATAAATAAAAATAAATAAAAATAAATAAAAATAAATAAAAATAAATAAAAATAAATAAAAATAAATAAAAAAGAGTTATAACTCAAAAAAAAATTTTTTTCTTAAAAGAAATTTATCATTTTCTGAGTAAATAATAAAAAGAAACTACAAAGTCATTGAATTTTCAGCTTGCTATGATTTTTCCAAGTCATATATATCTCCTCTTAATTTCTAACCACCCTAACTCTGTCAGTTTTAATAATAGCAAAAAATGTCAAATATCATTTTTATGTTAAACTTTATGATTTACAATTTTTATTAAAAACTTTTTTTTATAGCACCTACCGTTTTTAAATAACCTTAAAAAACACTTTATTTTCTTGTTTTTTGACATTTGCCGGTGCCTGAAAAACAAAATTTTTTTACATATCGTTTTCAAATACTCTAATGTGACTTATATCAAAAATTCCTGTATTTCCTCCAAAATTTTGATTTGAAGGTCTATTTAATTGGACATGGGTTGTTAATGAGAATATTTATATGCTAGTGAGTGACCAAAATAATAAACGAATATTATTTTCTTTAATAGATATTAGCGAGTAGATCGTAGTAATCGGAACAGTAGTAACTCTGATAAGATATCAACAAATATATTATATATTATTCCCCTTGTAGTACTACAACGTTCACAGCCTTTAATTATATGTAATTTATATTTTAATGAAGGTTAAACTATAATTTATGTTGCAGGTAAAACGGTAGAATTTATTCAGGTGTACCAACAGGCAAAATTGGAAAGCTCTTACTTGTTATGGTGCGATATCGGTGGGTCGTAGTATTTATAGTGTTAAGGTCTATTCTCACTATAGGTCAAGCCACGAGCAAGTCACGATCCAGTTACGGCCCGATAAAAAATAATTTGTCGTAATTTTAATGCTTTTAAATGAGTTTTCTTCTAAACCGTTTACACATGCTGGTCATTGAACAAGCAAGCCACGGTCAAGTCACGGGTCAAACACAGCATTTCCTCAAAAAAATCGGAGGGATGCAGTCAGGACCCCCACTCTTAGTGGGATCAAGACTACTAATTTAGCATTAAAATGGCAAGAGAAGTGGCACTATAAAACAAAGGAACGATGGACGTGGACACTAATTTCTAATATCTAAAAATGGGTTAGGGTGGGTTGTGCAATAGGCCGTTAAAGTGTAAACTTAGTTTAAACTATGAACCTCGTTGTATAATCATCGTTTACTGTTAAACATAGTTTAAAAATTAGAATTGTACTTTGAATATAACCAGTTAAAAATTAAACGTATGTTAGCCCATAGGCGACATGAACAAGTCAGCTACTTCTTAACCCAATCGTTTAACATGGATGTTTCAGGAAATACTTCTACCAAAGAAGAGCAGAATCAGAAGATTGTAATTACTGTAGCCTGATAGACGATACCGAACATACAGCTTCTGAGAAAGTTGTCAACGCGGAAAATATGATGTCGCATCTGCTGAAATTAGAAAGTGGGTAAGTAATTCAGCACATAATAAAGACCAAAGAGAGAGAAAGCAGATGAGAACAGCCCTAACACTGAAGAAATATGAGTTTTAGAGCAGAAAGGGAGGGGGTGGTTTTTTTAGTGGGTATTGAATCTAGAGCCCCACTATCCGGCCAAAAACATCTAAGTTGGATGTGCGTAAATGCATTATTCCAGCCTTCCTCAAAAAAAAGCTGTTCCACAACCAGAATTTTACTAACCAACCCTAGTTAACTTTGTACTTCCCTTAATAAAAAATTATTTCTTAATTTTTGTTTGACTTTAAATAGGCCAGCTAAATTATTTTCACAAATTATTTCAGTTCAATTAATATCTCTTAAAAAATCTTTAATTTCACCCATTAGCTCTCATAGATAACCGTTTTTTTAATATTAACATTTGTTGCTTTCATTTATAAAAATTTATGTGTCATTTGTTTATTCTTAAAATTGCCCGTGCTTTAGCGGACCGATTAATAAACTTGTATCACAACATATTATTTACAACCATTTATTTGTTATTTCTAATACGTTTCGAAGTTGGAAAAATTAATTCCAATTTAAATTCCACCTGGGTTCTAACCTCAACACTATTGCGCCTCAGTCGAGCTATTTTGTTCTCAACAAAAATGAATAAATAAATGTATCGCTTATATTAGGCCATAAAGAGAATACCTAAACAACAGGTAATACACAACGTTAAGAGAAGGATATTTCAAAATGAACGAGCAGAGCCACAAGTCAGACTAAAGAAAATGAGAACACTACTAGAAAAGCGACGAGGGGAAAAACTATGAGAGGCAATCAATAAAAACGTGGTTAGGAACTGTTAGTATTGGTAAAATGATTCAAGATAGAAGGCTAGGAAGGCTAGGGTTGAGGAGAAAAACTGACAAATGACTGAATCCGCCTATACAGGGCGTAATTAATAATATGCCATAGAACAACTGGAAAAAGGAGATTTATCGTAAAACACTTAGATAAAATGAGATTCCTTACTTAGTTTTATTTCAAAATGTATTTTGACCGTTTAATATTTCTTTGCAAAAATTTTAAAACGGTAGGTTTTTTGTAATAGTTTAAAATGTAAAAACTAGATTTTTTGTTTAATTACAAGTATTATCACGAAATATTTTTTCTTAATGTTATCAATATACTAACCTTAAAAAGTCCTATCCAGTCCTCGGCACTTTCTCGAATTTCTTTGGTGCGCCTATAATAAGCCTTGTTTTCGCCTTCTTCATCCCAACTATTAATTTTGTCGAATTCAATCACAGATTCAGAATAATCTGAAAATACCTGATCAACAGCTAATGAATGCATTCGTAATTTTAGAACTGGCTGAGGAACCTATACAATACTAGTCATGTTATTAAATCAAAATTAAATCATTCAAATGCTTTCTCGTCGGTAACGAAGTCAAAAATAATAGAATTAAAAAAGAGTAAATAGAATTGAAATAAAAGTATTATAAGTACACTGTAACTCTTGGGAATAATTATATAGTAATAATATATACCCCATAAAAATCTAGACATTTTTTAAAAAATACTTCGACGAAAAAACACGTTCAAAAAAAGTTAAAACATTAGTAAATATGGCATGATTTATACAAATATTATTTTACACAGTTAATAAGAAAGTAGTTAAATCCCTTTTAATAAATGCTGTCTTTCTATTATAATATTTACACTATTTACGAGGCAAGGCGAAAAGTTATCAGTCTAACACAGAGATGGCAGTGTTATCAATAAAAAAATTCTTCTGATATATAGGCACTATGAAGACTAGAGATAAGGAGGCGAATCGGCAATGGTCAAATTTCAAATTTCCGTCCTTCTTTTTATAAAGTTCGCGAAATTGACTGCAGTTGGCATGTCTAATGACAACGCAGTCAATTTTCTATGTAAGTCAATGTAAAATACGGTGATTTTTTTAAAAAATTGATGAAAAAATCAAAATAATGTGAAAAAAAACTACCTGAGTACAAGTAACATGAGTGACAAAAAACACCAAAGCAAGATTTACGACGTTTCAGATTGTAAAACAGGATAAAAATCAAATGTAAAACTAAAGAAAACATAAGAAGAAATCAATTCAATGACTTTTTAAAACTTTTAATGTAAGTAAAATAATGTATTCATGTGTAAATATAATATTTATTGTAAACTAGTCTCAATCTGTATAGTATAGTTTATTTTATTATCAGTTTCTATAATATAAAATTTTACAGTTATAGATGCTGACTTACAAACAACAATAATTATGCATTAAAGGACCCCGCATAAATCTTATGGAAATTGGATCCCGGTCAAATTCGCTGAATTTTTGATATGTGATAGAGTTCATCATACTGGTCAATTGTCTCAATGGCCACAAAGCTCAAAAATGGATAGTTTGGCCGGTACAGAGCTTTAAAGCTCCGAGTATCCTCCACGGATTTATGTATATGCACAGTGTGTATAGACTTTTGAAATAGCCTATTTCATTTTTTTTTTATTATCTAGGTTTATATTTTTGAGGTTGCTGAATTCAGATCTGTTCTTAGATTTTCAAAATTGACAGTTGACAGCTGTCAAATAGCTGTCACTTTGCTATAATAAAGCCAAAAAACTTGTTTTTTATGTTTTATCTTTCTTTTTTTTTTAGTTCGATAAGTTCAAAGATGATATCAAATCAATAACAATGACTATCGGCAGCTGTCATTTAGCTGTCAACAAGTCCGGTAATAAAGTCAAAAAATTATTTTTGTTTATAACTTCAAGTTTTTTAGATAAGTGAATATAAATATAATATAAAATTATGTAGTCATCAGCTTACAGCTATCAACAAGCTGTCAACTAACTGTCAAAATGCAATAATAGAGCAAGTAACTTATTTTTTGTGCTTAACTTTGTGGATAAGAAATCAAACATGATATAAGTTTATGACATCACTTTTGAACTCGGTGATCTAAGCAACTTAAAGCTTTTTAAAAAAAGTATCTTTTAACATGGAACATGTTCATAATGAGGGGGTACTTCGCGAAGGCCTCCACTTAGTAGGGTGTGAAAATGGTCAGTTTTAGGAGGGGGGGGGGGGTGAAACGATACACACAGACACACACACTTTTAAAAGTAACATCCTTATATATTTGATATTGTAGACTTACCTATATAATATCAAATATTATCCCATATATATGTATATATGAACAAACGGCCCTTTTAAGGGCCAAAAACGATGTGCAAAATCCGATCGTCTAACCTCCCCGCGGTGCATATTGGATTACGCTAATGGCGACGGTAGAAAAGTGAATTTAAGCATTACTAAAAGAGTAAAAGCCAAAGTTTTAACATTCAAAAATAATTGGGAATAAACTTAAACAATGACAATAAGCATCAATGTATTTTTCTATTTGGAAATTCTTGGCTTACAGCTTTCCCCTATCAATCAGCTAACTGTCAAAATGCAATAATAAAGTAAAAAAGTTACTTTTTTTAAAAAGCTTTAAGTTGCTTAGATCACCGTGTTCAAAAGTGATGTCAGAAACTTATATCATGTTTATAAGTTACTTGCTCTATTATTGCATTTTGACAGTTAGTTGACAGCTTGTTGACTACATTACCGACTTTGAAGAATTGTTGACAGCTAAATGACAGATGCCGATAGTCATTGTTATTGATTTGATATCATCTTTGAACTTATCGAACTAAAAAAAAAAGAAAGATAAAACATAAAAAACAAGTTTTTGGCTTTATTATAGCACATTGACATCTATTTGACAGCTGCCAACTGTCAATTTTGAAAATCTAACAACAGATCCGAATTCAGCAACCTTAAAAATATAAACCTAGATAATAAAAAAATGCAATAGGCTATTTTAAAAGTCTATACACACTGCGCATATACATAAATCCGTGGAGGATACTCGGAGCTCTGTACCGGCCAAACTATCCATTTTTGAGCTTTGTGGCCATTGAGACAATTGACCAGTATTATGAACTCTATCACATATCAAAAATTCAGCGAATTTGACCGGGACCCAATTTCCATAAGATTTGTGCGGGGTCCTTTAACTTACTAGAAAAGAAAATTTATTTTTTATAGAGTTTTAATGTTAGATAAAGAGCTGCTACTGTTTTTTTGGGGCCCCAATTGTGTCATTGTAAATGTTTTTTATAGGATACTAAACGTTTAGAACAGTGGCAGCATATATATCGTTCCTAGTGCCGATAAAGCACTTTCTAGAGATGATGCTGTTCTATACTTTTTAGAAGATATTATCAAATATTATGAGACTATTTTTACTGATGGTACTGTTAGAAATAAAAAGGGGAAAGCTGAAATTAAAGGATGAGGTAATACCATGTACATTCCCAAATCTCCCTTTATACTTGTATTGCAACAATAAAAAATATGTTAACTGTTTTATTTTACTCTTAAAACTATATATTGGTTCAATTAAAAATAAAAATTGCCACAAAATTGTATTTTCAGCAATTAAGAAACCTTTTCGAATTTGGTCATACATACCTAATTTGTATTTTATATAGATAAAATTAAATAATTTATCAATTAAAATACGCAAGACTTATTTAGAAATAAATACAACAATATGTTCTGTGCTTTATTTAACTGTAAACAAGTTTATTTTTATTATTTTGACAAAATGGGGCATGTTCAAAAATTTTGAAATTTTTTTTATGAATAATAGAGTTCAAAATAAAGCTACATTTTTATCTATTCATTTGCCCGAGTTATTAATTTTTTTAAATTTATGACGTCACCGAGAATAGATCAATAGGAACTAGCCACACAACGTTGCCAGTTAGACGGTATACGAAAAGTAATATACGTTCGTTTGTGTGCACTGTCTTACTTTTAGACTTCTAAAATATCGTTAAACAAATATCTTTTAAATATAAAATACCAAATGTTTTTAAAAGTATTATTTATGTTTAAATTTTCACCATATTTATAGTTTCATTGTTTTAAAAAACGACAACTAACAAACAAGAAAATGGAAATGCGGCAGCACTGCATGTGTCATCTGTGAATGAAGAATTTTTGTGTTGTCAATCGATAAATATGCAATTTGGATGTTTTTATAAATATTATGAGTATGAAAAAAATGTTTCCTTCCAAGAGTGATAATAATTTACATTTTACATTCATTATTAAAAATATTTATTAGTGTTGCTAAAAATATGAAAAGACGAAAATTATTATCATTACACAGAAACGCTTCAAATAACAACTAAATTATTTTGTTGAGGTTTGTATCTATACTCGTTATTAAAATAAAAATGTTTTATTGTAATTTAATTATTCAATTATCTATCATTGTAGTAACGATGTTTTTTTCGTTTTTTTTTTTTTAGATACCAGATGATTTTGAAAACTGTTCATTTTTTAAATGATGGATAAACCTTTACATATAAGAAGTGGGTAGTACCACACAAATGTCTCCACAGTTCTTGTTATTCACAACACTGATTCTACCAAAAAAAGAAAAACATAAAACAAAAAATATGTTGACTGGAAAATAATCTTCTACTAGAGGCATTTTTCATCTCTATTTAATAAACATACACCGGATCTTCAAGATGCAGCAGCAATTTCTGACATTGCCCCATTGGGAACATAAGTTCGAAGGTGTATATCCTAAAACCCCTTCTGCAAGAACCTGCCTCAAAACCTCCTGAAAGTTTTAAAGATAGTGAAGTTTTGTCTGAATCATAGGGACTTAATAATGAGCAGGATCTTCAAAACCAATGAACTCTCAAAATTGAAAATAAACCGAAGATATATTTAGGATTGCCCAACAGTGTTTTTTAAAATCCTCAATATTTATGAGAAGGAAAGTGTAGCTTACATAAACCTTTTACATTTCTGTGTGAATTAGTGGTATTTTTAACTTAAAAGAACTCATTTGTAAGACTAAATACCAAATAATTTACTAAACTGTTTTTTTTTTTTGATTAATTTATCACATTTCAGATTTATTATAATAATTGTATATAAACAAAAATGTAAAATCTGTGAAAATTTTATTTATTAGCCCATTATTAAAAAATAAAAATACCTGAATAAGATAAACGAAGTAAAAAACACTTTATTTACAAATAATAAAAAATATATACACAAGCCCTAACAATAATGGAGATGTCAAATTAAAATGTCCTCTAAAGATGTATTATCAAATTCAACTTGTTATCGACTTCACATTACAGGATTGCCAAGCAATTAAATTTTTAATGAAATTAGAGAATGATGCAGACCCCAAATTAAATTATAATAATTTAGGTAGATTTACATTGATTTCAAAATCGTTTAACATATTTACTAATAAGATACTAAGCTAACGAATAGTGGTGGTAGAACTAGTTTATTTTATACAGAATGTTTTGAAACATTTCTTAAATATGGAAAATTTTAAGTTCGATTTATTCAATTTTTTCAAATGCAACACCCTATATATTATTTTAGCATACAATTCCTTATACATTTTTCTATCCAACGATATCAACATGTTAGCCAATAACACATACAGGATGTCCCATCAGTGCGTAATTAATCGATAGCTGTTTTTTTATTGAAAATACGAAGAAATTCTTAATATAAAAGTTGTATGACCACATTTAACAACTATTCTTAAATATACAGAGTTTTCCATAAACGAGGTGCTGACCAAAGCTATACTTTTTTAAAGCAAAACACCCCTACATTTTTGACTGTTTTCACATCGTCAAACAATTTTAACTGACTTCATTGATATGCTATGTTGTATATAGGGTGTGTCAAAACGCGAAGTTACGATTTTCTTAATTTTTTGAATGGAATATCCGGTATTAATTGGTTGTATAATATACAGGCTATTTTATTTAAAAAATTGAGAAAATCTTAAACCTCGCATTTTGAAACACCCTATATGCAGCATAGCAAACGAATGAAGTCTATTAAGAATTTTTGACGATGTGAAAACAATGTTTTGCTTTAAAAATGTATAGGTTTGGTCATCCCGCCCTCGTTTATGGATCATCTTGTATATTTAAGAAAATTAATAAATATGGTCATACAACTTTTATATTAAAAATTTCTTCGTATTTCTAATAATAAAACAGCTATCGATCAATTACGTACTGATAGGACAACTTGTATATGTGTTATTGTTTAACATGTTGGTATCATTGGATAGGCAAATTTCTGCTAAAATAATATACAGGGTGTTACATTTGAAAAAATTGAGTAAATTGAACTTAAAATTAGCCATATTTATGGCATGTTTCAAAACACTCTGTATAAAATATTCCAATTCTATCACCATTATTTGTTAGCTTATTATCTTATAAGTCTGAATTTTAAACCATTTTTTAAATCATTGTAAACCTACCTAAATTATGATAATTTAATTTGGGGTCTGCATCATTTTCTAATTTCATAAAAAAATTAATTGCTTGGCAACCCTGTAATATGTAAAAAAAAATCTAGGATTGAATACAGTATTACTAAAGCATTCTAAACTTGAAATAAAATACAGGGTGTTCAAATTAAAAAAATAAACATTATTTGCCAGGCAAAAACGTAACACACTGTAAATCCAAAAATATTTTTAAAATACGTATTTTTTAAATACATATAACTTTTATTTGAAATTTGTTTGCGTGTCTGTCATATTAGTTAAGTAGTAATAACTGAACTCATCCTGTCACGTCAAGTGTCAGCGGTGATGTCAATTGTCAATACGGTCCAAGCCTCAGTCTTGGTTATGTAATGAACATAAATAAACGTATGTTACAAGTCTCTTAACATTTTTTATTAAATTACAAATGTAATTATTAAATACAAAACACAAATTGAAATATTGAACAATTACGCATTAATTAAATGCCGCCCATTTGAATTAATGCAAAAGTATAGTTGACTTAGTTATGGTGCAAACACTACTCTACTTCTACTTCACAAGTGACATCATGTTCTTGATTCTCGATTGGTAAACAAGTATGGGTGTCAAATTATAATATTTGGTATTAAGAAATTATTTTAAAATTACAAAGTAAATGTATAAACCTAAATGTCAGTTATAATACCCATTTAAATAAGTCCAAAAATTATCATAAAATGTTAAATCTTCAAATTGAAAGGAAAAAATAGATACATTATTAAACTATTTAATAAAGTTTCATGTAAAAAAAAAATATCTCCATTAATGGGCGGAACTTTTTAGCTAGTTTAAGCCTTGGTTTCTTTGAACACTTCGTCGCGGTGAGCGGACAGTCCGTCAACCGTCGCGTTTTGACGATTTTATCCAACCAGAGTATGTAAATGGGAATGGTTTTCTTGAATCCGCTTAGCTGAGCAGGACGGCGTCATGCCGCTGATTTGTCGCGAAGAGTCGGTTGATATCTGTTGAGTTTGATATCAGCGTGTGCGGAGACTATATTGTTATTAATTTTAAAACAATAAGTGACAAATTCACACATACAGATGACATTAAGACTTTATTTTTAGGTTTCTTGGAAATTACGTCCTTTATAAAACTCAACACGAATTCAAAAAGATCTGTAGAAAGTCTAAAATACTCCCTAAATTTGGTTTCATTTCCAAGAAGCCTCCGCTGCACAGTGATATTAAAGGCACCTTCTGTATCGCGGCACAAAAACAACTCATCCACTGGCTTATTGGAAACTTTGACGGTTGCAATTGCCAGTTCCTCTTGTTCTTCCTCTTCCAACAATAATAACAACGCAAACAATTTAATTGTATCCATTTTAGTACCTTTCGTTTACATTCATAATACATAAACAGCACGTACAGACATAGAGAAATTATAATTTTCTATATTTTTTAACAAACCACCTCGGGCGAAAATTGCTGTCCTCAGCGGTCGACGGACTGTCCGCTCACCGCGACAGAGTGTTCAAAGAAACCAAGGCTTTAGCTACTTCCACAAGTAACACGTACAATCCCTGCACCAATTTTTCAAATAGAGGCCGAATTTTACTTTGAATTTGCAATATGTCTCTACAGTTGCCATATTTTATATAACTATACAAAATATGGTTCTGAGGTGTAGAGATTTCAGAAAAAGAGTACATTTGTACAAAGTACGTTTTTCAAGAAAAACTAAGCCTGAGAAAGACTTTGTTCAAGTTGGACGCCGCATTTGTTAAATGATGATCAAAAACAAGTAAGAAAGCGAATTTCTCAGCAATGTTTGGATTCTTAAAAATAAAACAAGCGATTTTATGCGCAGATTTGTTACTGTGTATGCAGCGTTATGTCCACTACTATACACATGAAACAAAACAGCAGTCAAAGCAGGTGGCTCTGCACCAAAAAAAAAAGAGCGAAGTTTGAGTAAAAGATCATGGCTAGTATTTTTTAGGATGTAAAAGGGATTCTGTTAATTTATTACTTTTAAAATGGTAAACCAATAACTGGTGAATACTAAGTACAACTTTTTTGGCCATCTTGACGAAAAAATGTATGAGACCAGGCCTGGACTGCAAATCATCTTCTTAAGAACAATGCACCAGCCCACAAAGGTATTTTGGCAATCAGAAAACTTAGAGATTTGAGGTCCCACCCTATTCGCCAGATTTGGGCAGTTCTGACTTTCGCCTATTCTTAAACTTAAATTTGTGAGTGGAAAACGTTTTGTATTAAATGAAGAGGTTACAGTAACGGTAAACGGATATTTTGCAGTCCTTCCAGAATTATACTTCAGGGATTGAATCCATTTATTAGAGAAATGTTGAACAAAACTAATTGAACTAAATGGGAGGCTACATAGAAAAATTATCATTCACTTCTGCAGAGAACTTTTCACCTTGCTCTCGTATTATAATTAAATTATTTCTTTTATCAATGGCGTAACTGAATATACTGTTGAGTAAAAACTATAAAAAATAAGAATTATAGAAGGAATACACTGGAATTTTAGGACTTTCTTTTATAACACTTAGAAGAAAAACAAATAAATAAAATATACATATGTTTACCTGTATAAGTAAGCAGAAGTTGTTATAAGCAGTAAATGAATGATTAAAATTTGAGTTAATAATGACCAAGATGCTACATTGTTAAAAATCAAAGAACAGTGTCAGAAATAGTATTGTATGAAAAAGATCTTTACCAAGCATTATCTGTAATAGTTAAAAAAAAATGTTCTTTACATTTTTTATAATTCTCTTCTAATTTCTAAAACTGTCCAAAGATACATACTAATGTGTTAGAAAAATACATTACCTTTATAATAAATTCAGCTGTAACTGGTTTGTGATCACTTAAAACATAATTTGGATGAGATTTATATGATAATTGGTCTACTTTAAGTGTCACGTTTTCATAATTATTTGAATTGACTCGATATAATATCCTGTCACACCATGCTGGCCTCCTCCTAAAGAAACATACAAGAAGATTTTTTAAGAACTGCATAAATTTAACCGTAAGCGGAAAAATATGTAGGGCCACTGGAGACTAATAAACGATGCCTTAGTTCGCAAACATTCTAAGTCACAAATGAAGGTTTTTCAGGAGACATCCTAAGAGTTTTTGGTATTTTTTAAGTTATTTATTAGATAGTGAAGTTAAAAGGATTTCAAAATTAAGTAAACGGACTTAGAATATTTGCCAACTAAGGCAATGATATGCTATATTAGTGATGACGTAATTTGTGTTCCAATGACAAATGACAGTAGACCCATTTAATTCATTCATTAACATTTTATTTCTATTATTTTCAAGATTATATTAATTTAAACGTTGGTTACATACCTGTAAACTATTTTTTTTACGACCTGCAAACAATATTTGTACATGGTCCGAAACTTAAAATGCAACCATCATATACCAATTTTTTAAGTTTTTTTTTTTTTTGTAAATTGGAATACAAATTACGTCATACTAATATAGCGTTTCAATTTACTGTCAAAAAAATCCAATAGGTGGTTCGTAGGCACACAAACTTATATAAATATATTTTTAATATAGTGCTCGCTAATCCAAGCTGTGGTGGGCGAGCAACTATAGTGTAAAGTCGACGTTTAGAGTACCGATTGTATTATATTTTATATTGATGTGTGAAAGAGGACAATCTATTGGTGAAAACCTCTTTAAAATCGGTACATATTTGACGATGCTAGATCGATGAGTAAGATTTACAGATTTCTATACAGTGGCTAGCGCACTAAATTTCTGCGACTGTCTAGCGAGAGTAAACTTTGCGCCGCCACTTATTTGAACCCTTACCTTTAAACAACGCCCTATAGTATTGGGCTGGGGTATACTAGAAAAATATATACAGTACGACAAGATTGAGATGGCAAGTCAGAATTAGATGCGCACTGGCAAATCTAAAAATGAGGATAATTATCTGAATTCATGAGTGAACTTCGATGATATTGTTTCGGTGATCTATTTGTGTTAACTGAGATAACTCCTCCCATTTTTAGATTTGCCAGTGCCATCTCAATCTTGTTGTACTGTAAGCTGTGTTTCAAAATATACTCGATGACAATATTTTTCTGGGGTATACCTTTATATAAGAAACTCTGCTTTGCTATACTTTTAAGTGGCCAATCCATGCCATGCTACGAATAGAAAGTTATGGACGTTGTGTTTTATAATATGTTAGGGTTGAGACAAATTATAGCAGATAAAAATAGAAAACCGTTTATTACAAAGTGAAATTTTGGTTTCCTGGCTGCATTTAAGTAAATGCAAAGCTTCTACGTGTACGTGATGAGAGTGTTCAAGAACTATAGTCACAACTAGTGATGGGTCGCTTTAAAAAATTCACGGACAAGTCCGACGGAGTAGTCTGAAAAGTTGACTTGTCCAAACACACTTTTCAAAAAAATAAAATAAAAAAAAATGGAAGTGTAGTGCGCATGCGCGAAATTAAATTTACGAATTCGTCTGAATTTCTTGCAAAGGCAAAATTTAGTTTAAAAAAAGAAGAAACGACAAATGTTTACTGACTTTTATAATGTTTTAACGATGTTTTCTAAATTTCGTTTCATATCTCGTGAAAATACTACCAAAAAATCCAAAGTTTGGAAGTATTTTAAAAATGATTTGCCTAAAAAAACGAAAATAAAATGCAAATATTGTTCCCAAAGTGTTTTTGAAAAATATCCAGGATGGAGATTAACCTCTGCGTCTTCTATGCTCAAGGTCGACTACTTTTCATTACTTTTCCAGACATGCCCGTCGGACTGGTTCAAAAATTACTTTTCATGAAAAATCCTATCTCTAGTCACAAATACGTTGTACCATTCTGATAACAATTTGTTGTTTCTAATACTGTCCTTGTTGACTTTTTTGATTACTAAGTCTATTTTGGCATTACAGTTTAAACCACGCGGTGTTTTAGAAAACGTTTGCACAAAGTCGTAGATAACATTAGTGTATCGTTCATGTGTTTCATTTTGATCAGCTTCCAGCCTAAATTGCATAGAACATTTTACAGCTCTATTTGCTAGCCGATCAAATGCTGTTATTTTAAAACATTTCCATGACAACCAGAAAAGTTTCCGGAAATTTTTATCCTGGCGGGTACCATGAACGAAATTACACTGGAAATTTTTTGACATTTGAGAAGCTCTTTCATGCACACGGTATTACGACGCGACGCAAAAGTGTGAATGAAAAAATTAATCATTTCAATGATTAATATTTAATTTAATACCAATGATAACTAGATAGAAATACACTATTGTTTAAAGTAAAATTATAATTGGGTTTTTCGCGTCAAATATGACAAATATGCATAACTGGCATGGCAAACTTTGCATATTTGATTTTAGTTGTTGTAATGCATGTCGGTCAAGTTTTGAAATTTTAATATTTCGGTTTAAAATTTTCTTACCGAATACGCACATGCCTAAATTATTGTTCGACTCGGGATAATTTTTAAAATATCCGTGATTTTGAAAACATTTCCGGCAATAATTTAGGCACTAGTGGTATTATAAGTGAATACTTTTTTCCGATTCAAAATTAAGATTCTCGATCAGTCCATAATGTTCAGTCATAACCTTCTAGACTGGCTTTATCTATAATTTTACATACTTTATAACACTAGACACCCTACTTTTTTTTAACAGACTTCAAAAAATGGAGGAGATTATTAACTCGTTTTTTATGTATGTGCAGCTTTAATTATTTACCACGTTGTCCGATTTATTTAGGAAGGGGGTACATCAGGATTGTTCTCATATAAATTTTGACAAGATCTGACCTTATTTTTAAAGTCAGTTTTTAAAATTACTTTTATAAATTTGAAATCACAAATGAAGAATTGTAAACAATTGTTGGGCCAAACAAGTGACGGAAGAGTTCCTAAGTTTAGTTCGATCGGGTATGTTTTAAAATACCGCGAAACCTGCATTTTAAAGTAAACACGATGCCAACTCGTCATAAATGTTAGGTAAAGGTACAATTTAAGGTTTAGTTTTCAATTTCTTTATTTAAAAACATACTCGACTGCAACACGGTCTCTGACGTCATGAGCATTGTGTAAAGGTATACATTCCAAATAAGCTGCGCCGCCATTAGTTATATCACTGATCTTAAAAAAAAACTGTTAAAAAATCGCTAAAAAAATATTACTAGATATTAAAAAACATGTCTAAAGATTAAATATATAATTTTTAGCTGATTTAATTTACTAACATTTAGTTGACCAACCAGGTGGCTGATAAACTCAATAAGTGCATCCACTTAAGGGGTTATAGTTGCCAAACTTTGTCCTTTTGAAGGTGGATTTAGAACCAAAACAGTTTTTAGTGGGTTATTTTAATATTAGTTTTATCCATAGTCTGCAATTACTCGTTTTGTTAGAAGACACTGGAAATATAGTACTAGAAGTAATAAAGCTAAAAAGGTCTTGCTTTTATTCTTTTTCTTGTTTTTTTTTTTTTTTTTTATGTGGTATTTATGTGACCCGAGTTGGTTGATTTGACATATATGTATATTTTAATTTTGTATACCATTTAGAATAATTCTGTAGTGTACATATTTGAATAAATAAATAAAAATACATCTTTATGTGTAATATGCCAGGGACTTGCCATAATTGTAAATTATCACAGCAGAGATGATAGTTTTTGCTGTAACAATAGCAACAAAAATTCCACATGCAACCCGTATACGATTTATCGGCTGAAATAATGACAATGATGATTATGTACTTAAACTAAATGATTTGACGGACAGCAAAATCAAATGTTAAGTTTATTTATTTGTTTATCGAATTTAGATCACTCAAGACTCATTTTCAATTATATTTAAACAAGATAATTCAATTAAACTCATTTTATTGTCAGAATACAACCGGCGATTGTAGCTTATGGCCAACTTCTCTTAAGTATAATTTATAACCACCGTAACGTAACTTAACGCCATAGAAACTTAACCTAAGATATAAAATTAAAGTATATTTATAAATGTCCGTAACGTAAGAGCGTGTTGATTTTAGAGATTATTAAATTACTGACAACCGTATGAAATAAACAAGTGTAAACTATGTACCTAACCTCTAAACCTCTAAATAAAACTTATAAATTATGATTTTGCTATATAGAAAGAATATATTAACTACTTTAAAAGCAATAATATAAAAATATAATAAAACAGAATAGTTTACCGAAGATGTTGATTGTTTTTGAGCAATAATGAGAATTTAATCTTTCCTAGCAAACTAGTTTTGTGTCTTATTTCAGTTCTAGACTTGATGTTTATAGGTATATGCATGAGTAGGTATACTCATATCTCATAAATAGTTTATCCCCAATAACATAAACACAAATCATTCATGACAATGTATGTCCATCAAAAAGGAGAATGATAGTTTACAAATGGTATTTGTCCATTCATTTATAAAAAGAGAATAATTGACAGTTATCACATGATGAACTCAGAATTATCTCATTGGCTAACCGTAAGGTCTTAAGTTAAGTTGTTAAGTTAAAAGTTGGCGAACTTTCTACGGTACGTTAAGTTCTTAAGTTACGTTACGAACATTATAAATAAATATACGTAAATTCATTATTGCAACTTCTTACGTTAAGTTCTTAAGTTACGTTACGACGGTTATAAATTAAGCTTTACTCAGCATGTCTGAACCAAAACATTCACAGTGCTCGTTGGTCAGTGGCGCGGCGCGTAAATTTAAAAATATAAATTAAGAGCTAAAAATATGAAAGTGTTTCAAGCAATTTTATAACATGTAAAGTGAAATAAAATTATTTTGTTCCTTTATTTATTAATAACTATGTTTCAGGTAACAAAGCAAGCTTTTCTGTACAATGTAATATGAATAAGGAACAATAAAAATTGCTCATATTTCTAGAGCGAAATGGAGACGATTAAATCAAAAATATATTGTAAATAATATAAATATTTGCGACATAATAGTAATTATGTGTTTTAATTAATAAATATTTGCCCACCAATAAACTAGAAGAAAAACAACTGCTTCCAAAAAAACTCTTTGCTAACTCAGTAGCAGAGTCACTTAGTCAATTGTAAATCGGTAAATTCGGTAAGAATTACAAATGTTAAAAAGTGATACTTTTTGTATTGTCCATTAATTAGCTGTTTGGAGTAAAACGGGACAACGTACATAACTTTGAATCCTTTATTAAAAGTGTAAATGAATTATATCACAAAAGTATCGATTTTCACATTGGCCATACATGAACTCACCCAAAAAAACTAGTCATTATTTGTAAAAAAAAAAACTGCACTGAAAGTCGCTGTTCTAATCGAGTCTATTAAAATCTGTATATATTACCAAATTAGGTCATATTTCACAAAAGCAAAATCAATGTTAATTTGTTGTTTGTGTGTCTACGAGCAATCCTTTCATCAACTGTCGAAAGGACATGTGGACTGAAATGCCTAATAGAACTTTAGCTTATTTAAAATAGTTTGTTAGAGTGACATTGTATATTATCAGAAACATACTTGTGATCATAACATGGAGTTCCAACTGAAAACTTGAAAGTTGGAGGGAAATCCGGATCCTGTTCTGTTAATTCACTGAAAGCTTCACCTTTTTTCATTACAGCTCTTAATTGATCATATTCAAAAAGCGATTTAATATCCTTCTTCACAATTTGTCTTTCTATTTCTTCTGGATTTTTATCATATTCTTCAAGTAGTCGAAAATTGAGATCTCCCATCCAAAATACATAACTAAAATATTTATATATGATAAATATTGATATGGAAAATTTTACGCATATAGTTTTTAAATTTGTCAAAATTTGATAATGACTAGTAGATATTTTATTTACGTATTGATTGTCAGAAGGGATTTAAAGAGATATTAGTGGGATTTAGAGGCAGGGCTTATTAATTGGAGTTTTGTTTGAGACTGATAAAAAACGGTGTATTGATTAGATGTACAAGTAAAGAAAGATTATACCAATATTAAATAAGAATCTTTTTTTCAATATCCAACAAAAATCTTAAGACAGAGCAAGATGGTGTGGGCAGAGAGAGGGAGAGACGTAGACAGAGTAGTAAGTAGAGGAAAAAAATCAGTAGAAAAGAGCAGTATTAAAGGAAGAGAGAAAACTGAACGTATTATATTTTGAAACAAGGATAATTTCCTGATGGTAGCAGAATTTTTTAGGAATAAATAAAAGTTATTTGGAATAAAAACTTTTTAGTGGCTGATACAAGAAAGAACTTTTATTTAGTATTAAAAAATATATTTTGAAACTTTTAGTAATTAGGATGTATTTTCGTTGAGAATATAAATGTAGAATTTATAGAAATTGAGATTCATGTTTCATTATCCTCTTGAGTACTATAAACAAACCTACCGAATTGAATAAAAATCTTAAAAAAAGTATTTGGGATAATAATAAACCATTTTTTTTTTAATTTAACAGGAATTACCTCCTTCAATATTGACATAACATTTAGGAACACCCTGCGTATACAATTCAATGTAACAAGAAAATGGGTTTAAAAACTTAACAGACCAGTTGTTGTCAAATTTAAAAATAAACATTCCGTTAATTAAACGTTATAGAAATTTATTTTTAATTTCAATGTCATGTTCACTTAAGAACAACATGAACTTTGAAATTAAAAACTTAATATTAAATTAGGGTTAAAACACTACAAAACTAACATTAAAAAAATATTATAGGAGCATATACAAATGCTTCTAAAATAACTGTCTTGTATTAATGTTGCAAGGACTTTTAATGGATCGAAAAAAATGGGAATATTTAATTTGAAGAAAAATTAACAATTAACAACAATAACATCCGGATGTGGCTATAACATAGCGAATTTAATTTACTACTATTCCATAGATTAATTAGTTTTATTTAAATGCTATCTTATTTTTATGTGAAAATTATGCTGTATAGGCATAAAAAAAATACATGAAAGGAAGCTGGGCAGTTTAATAGACAAGTCAGAATTTTGAAATGTTATCATTTGTTTAATGCACTTTAATAATTAAAACATTAAGTATAATTTAGAATAGCAAAAAATTCCTTATATAGTAGATCATCGCTTTTTGTTTTGTTACTGTATTTAACTAATAACTTCAAATTTTAAATGTACTAACCTATTTGATTAAAAAGTATTTAATAATAGTTTATATGAATGTGTCCCTCATTTTAAATGATATCGTTTATTAAACCAGAACAACTACACAAATTGTAACTTACAAAATCTTAATATTTTTTATTAAGCACAAGTAATGATTACTATAAATATTTATGTATAGTGTGTATAGTATCTTAAGATGAGTGCATGAATAAGTGAAAATCACAAACAAATTTGATTTAGAGAATATCACCTTAGGAATTTGCCCTAGAACATTCCAGATACTGCTAGTATGTAAACCATTTTTGAGAATTTCTGGGTTTTAGATGAACAAAGCTGGGACTAGATTCTAAAGATAAATGTATATGTCATATTTAGTTAAAATTATAACTTGTCAGTTTTAAATTCAAATTTATCATAAGGTATATCGTTGCCGTTAAAAATAACTGGCAAAAAAATTAATGAAAATGGCTGCATAACAGTACATTGCTTTTATATATCACTTAAAGGCAAATACGTAGAAAGTAAGTTATTTTACCAACTTTTACCTAGTAGATGAGAGATATCCAGTTGAAACTTGCATCTGGGCTACTTACACAACAATGCTAAGGTAATATTGCTGACAACAGTTTGGGAGAGATGATTTTTTAATCATTTAAAAAAAGCCAGAAATGTAATAGAGTTAATGGAATATTAAAAAGGTTTTTGTTTCCTGAAGCACATAAGCTTAAATTACAATCCATTAGTGTTAAAAGTGAATTACTTTTAACATGCTTCTCATAAAATTATATTTTTGATACTGAAACCAAACATAAAAAAACCAATCTTAATGGATTTGTAGAATTTTTTACCACTCTTATAATTTTATTGATTGCATTTGTAATAGCATTTCAAATTTCTGCCTTAATGGTTGGCTTCTCACTCTTTTTGCTTATAAAATAACTAATAACAAAAAGTTAAACTAATGGAATACGGAATAGACATTTGTGTTAAAATTTTAATGGCAGCCAAAAATAAACTAAAACGTTACAGAACAGACCCCTAAATAAATTTTTTGACATTTACATTGAGCTATTATATTCGTACTGGATATAAGGATATATAGTGTTCATTATGAGTGTAGAATAACAATTTTAGAATGTGAAAATCAAAACTCAAACTTTGTCCACTATATTTTTCCACATTTTAAAGACTTGTATCATCTGTACCAATTAAGGTAGTTATACCGATGCGGTTTTCACTTAAGGTAGTTCATTCGTAAAACGGCTTTTCTTAAGAATTCAATAAAATTGAAATATAGGGTTAATGAAAGTGTCGATTAAGTAACTAAAAAAAAATTAAATTTTTTGACCGTCTGTGAAACGAGACATTAACAATCGAATGTGCATAATTAACACTGTTGAAGCCTGTCATGTACACGAGCAATGCATTTATTTCAAGATATCTCGAAAACATATGTTTTAAAAACTAATGTTACATAAATCAAGAAGTTCTAAAATTTTTTTAAAAATCGCTGAATTTTTTGACCGTCTTAGTAAAATGATATAGATTTTTAAAATAAAAATATTTTTAAAGCAGTTGACGAGTAGTTTCGTAAAAGTATTAAAACTTGGCAACATTGTAATCACTACACGTAACAAAATAACACTAGATCCGCTATAAGAGGTTGTTATAAAAGACGTTTTCTTGAAAAATTAATTTGTCCACTGTGTTTGAAAACTGGAATCAGGGGTTCTGTTTGAACCAAAACAAACCCTTAAAATTAGTATGAGGAAGTCACAAATTTCTATACCATACCGTTCATATATTTGCGAGGTTGCCGGATGAATTTTATTAAAATTATAACATGTCCATATGTATTTATATACATGAGTTTTGTACAGTCTCTTACAAAAATAAAATTGATTAGCATTGAGAATCTCCAACTTTTGGTATTCACCATTATGCGATATTTTTCATGTACGAATGTCGCGAGTGAACTACCTTAAGACTTAAGTAGGGTCATAAGTTTTATTAGGGTATATCGGAAATAGAATTGTAACTTCCGCTTAGAAAAAGCCAAAATAGCACCATTTCAAAGTTGTCTTAAAATTGCATTTTAAAAAACATTATCCTTTATCTACATAACAGTAGGTATGCTTAGTTTCTAAATCTTTTCGAAAATGGCCTCAAAATTGTTTGCAATTTAATCTTAAATGAAATTTATGAGAATTATTTGTTTATGTTTTACAATAATTGTTAATTAGTAATTTTATAACTCCTGACATGTTATTAAGACGTTTTTAACACTATTGGTCAATTTTAACTACAATAGACATTTTTTTTTGTATTTTAGTATTTGTCACTGTTCTTCTATAATTTGAAGCTAATAAATAAAAAATCAAGCAATTATTTATTTTTTAATGTTCTTTCTTAGTCGTTTTAGAAAAATAATTGTTTGCAATGCGACCAGATATAACTATAACTCGCTAGATGACGAAGATGACGAGCTGCTTCACCAAAATTTTAGTAGAAATTAATAAAAAAATCAACTGAATAGCTAAATATTTCTGTAACAAAATGCCCGGCATTTTTGTCTCTATACAAATTACAAAACAGAAACCTCCAAAACTGTATCTAAAAAAATTCGACCGTCCGGGCTCGCTTGTTTTTGGATATATAATACAATAGAAGAATTTCCGAATCCGAGCAAACAGAGCGCTTGACGCGCTATGCATAAAACCGCCGAATACGCGTCTCTTCTATCGGCGCGTTTATGATGGTTGCCATGGAAACGGCACGTTTCGATCTAGCCGATTAATGCACTTGACGCGTTGATTCAGTTTGCTTCTTCCGGTCGAAACTATTTTTATACAGTGGTTGAACTAGTTGGTCAATTGCGAATTATTTTCGATTTTTCTAACAATGTTTCCAGTACATGATCCAGTATGTATGTCATTGGAGATGCCATTTTGTAGATGGGGAAGTGAGGATAAAAAAGACTTTTTAAATTCGCCAAAACCTGAACCTCTACTAAATGTAAGCAAAAAAACTAAGTCAAAAGACAAAGTGTTTGTGCGAAAATTTCGGAATGACTGGTATTCCGAATGTAACTGGTTGTGTGGTAGTTTTTATTTAAACAACCTTTTTTACGTATCCTGTTTGATAGTAGGATTTTTAGGATTCCATGATGTACGTTTTGATCGAACAGCACAATCATTGTTTACCCTAGTTACAAGTTGTCTAGAAAAATACGACTACAAATCAAAACTTGTTGGACAATGTTATGACGGCGCTAGTGTTATGTCAGGGCAATTAAATGGATTACAATCGAAGAATAAGGAAGTAGCACCAGAGACGGTGTTCTTTCATTGTTTGGCGCGCCGCGCCGTCTGAATTTAGTCCCGTCTCAAAGCTGTAATATCATGTCGAAGTGCCGTATATTTTTTTCTAATGTGAATGATCTGCCTTCTTTTTTTCATTATTCAGCAAAAAGAACTTACGCCGCCGATGTAATCCTCAATAAGCGAATACCCACTTCAGTAGTTACAAGATGGTTATCTAATTCTAAGATTTTGAGACTTATTCTTAATTGGAATTCTCTAAAACAAGTTTTTAATGACATTTTAAACGACCCAAATTCTGATCAGGCTTCAATAAGATAGAGCCAAGGCTACTTAAATATGTTTAATGACTTTGAATTTGTTCTTCTAGTTATCATTTTTACCGAAATTTTTTCCATCGGCGATGTACTTTTTGATGAATTGCAGAAACGTTCTTTAGATATAAATTACTGTGTATCTTAAATTAAAAATGCGCAGAATCAACTAAACGCTAAAAGAAGTAAAGTTATTTTTGCAAATATAGTTGATTCAGTTTCCCTAAGAACAGAACTGCCCACTGAGCACCGTGATGGGCGCATAAGTCTTGACAAGGGATCAAGTAGTTCAAAAATATAAAATTCTGTATTATGAAATCCTGGACACAATGTTAGAACAAATCAACACTCGCTTTCAGGATACTGATAAGCTTCAGTTTGTAACAATAATGGACACTTCCAAATTATCTGAATATTCGGAGAGCTTTCCTACAGAAGCACTAAATAATGTAGTTCAAATTAAATGACTTACAAAGATTAAAAAATAAGTTACAGTTTATTTACAGTAATGAAAACTTAACTTATAAATATTGACATTGATAAATTGTTGGAAAAACTATTTGAGAATCGTGATATTTTCAAAGAAGTTTATAAGATATATTGCTTAAAAAGTCGAATTTTTTTGTATTTTATTTTCAACGCGTCACCTACATTCAAACCCACGAGCCGCCACTGCTATGCAAACATTTCTTTTCGATCTAATTTCATAGTCATTTTGAACAAACATATTTTAAAACTAAGCACACAGTTATATAGATAAAGGATGAGGTTTTAAAACTATATTAAAATTGAAAGAAAATTAGATTATGAACTTTGAAATGGCGCCATTTTGTTTCTTTTTTTTAAGCTGAAGTAACAATTCTATTTCTGATATAACCTAATAAAACTTACGACCCTACTTAAGTCTTTAGTGAAAACCGCATCGAGATATCTTAATTGGTTTGGAAAATACAAGTTTTCAAAATGTGGAAAAATATAGTATTTATGAGATTAAACCATAACATTTTCCATCAAGGGGTTTTAAATAAAAAGTTTACTTTTACCAAAAACCTGATAAAAATGTTTAGTATGACTTATCTCTTTTTCATACAGAAAAAAAATTATCAGGAACATAAAATTTACTAATTAAAAGTGTAAAATGATAATATGCACTACAATGATTCTTAATAATATGTTTTAATTAAGTGTTTAAATAAAAATTCCTATGTTCCAGCAATTACAAAACAAGTCTAAAATTCAAAACATGTACTTATTTTTCCATAAAATTTTAATCATTAGTAATAACAAGTGACATGAACTGTCTGATACTTATAATTTTTAGATTTTAATTGCAAAAATGAAATATTAAAAGTATTTCTGTTTGTAAACAACTTTGAAGAAAGCTAATTAAGGAGGTCCTTTCGCCACCAATGTTAAATAAAAAATATTAGATTATGACTAAAATTAATTTTTTTCTAATAGTAGATGTCCTTATTTATCTAATAGTGAACTTTTAACTATACCTTACCATGCAAATTTTTGAGAATTTTTTTTTTTTAAATGTGTGTGTTTGTACAGTGTCTTATGAGAAAGTAAGACTTCAACAACAATTTTCGAATTATAATTAATTTTACTATTATTTATTGATTAGATGGAGTAGAAAAAAAAAACTAAAAATAAGGTTTTTGAAATATTTAGGTTTTGTTTTTACAATAAAATATATAGGTTACCGTGGAATTTATTGAGAAATTATTATTAAAAAATCACAAAAAATTTTCAACTAGTTTACTTGAAAATTTTTTGTGATTTTTTAATATTAATTTCTCAATAAGTTCCACGGTTTACTATATATATTTTATTGTATAAAACAAAATCTAAATATTTCAAAAACCTTATTTTTAGTTTTTTTCTACTCCATCTAATCAATAAATAATAGTATAATTCGAGAATTGTTGTTGAGGACTTACTTTCTCGTGAGGCACTGTACAAATACATTTAAAAAAAAATTCTCAAAAATTTGCAAGGTAAGGTATAGTTAAAAGTTCAGTATTAGATAAATAAGGAATTCAACTATTAGAAAAAAATTAATTTTAGTCATAATCTAATAATTTTTTTTTTAACATTTGAGGCGAGAGGTGTGGCGAAAGGACCTCCTTAATATTATAAATCTCATTTTTTGGTTTGCTATTTTAATTGTATTGGCGAAGCTAACAGGCCAATTATGTTCAATACCACACTGAATCCATTAAAAATAGTTTTCAAAAGAAAATTAAGATAATTTATATTTAGCTCGACAGAAATGCTCTATAAAAAATCCAGGCTAAACCAAAATTAACCAAAGGCAATTAAGTTTAGTATTTTAAAATATAACTTCCCTGTCAAATGAATTAGAAGTTATATAAAATTACTTTCATATTGCAATTGATTTTTTATAATATAATGATCAAACTTTCAAGTAAATACACTTTTGACAACCTCTTAAAATGGTAAAATGGCCATTTATATTTAGCAAAATGTTTATATATACTTTGTAAATAAAATTTAAATAATAACTTACTCATGGTAAAATATTTTAGAAGTTTCAGCTACATGGAACTCCTGATCTTGAATAATGCTATTGTAATCTTCAACTCTATCTTTTAAGTGATCATCATGAGCACTCAGATGGGCATTTACAAAGCAAATTGAACAACCATAAATACCTAATCTAATAGAAACTGCTCCTTTGTTACCCTGTAAAAATACATACAATAAAACCGAGAATAAAACTGAGATCTCTTAAGCACATCATGTTACTCACAATTACTGAAAAGGAATTTAAGAGAACATTCTTCAAAAAAATATCAAAATTGATGCAGTATATACAGATTTTTTAAATAAAAAAATATACCAAAACATGAACGGGCCAAATGTTCGTTTTTTAGACCACTCTAAACACATTTTTGAATAAATTTTTCGCCATGGAAATGCTTGAAATTATTATTTTTTACCCTAAACTTCCAAATGTATCAGCCAATCTCTATCTTAAAAACTCGTGAATTACATGATTTTAGTGATGGGTCGCTTGGAAAAGTCCACAGAGAAGCTAACGGACTAGCCTGAAAAGTTGACTTGTACAAGCACAATTTTCAAAAGTGGAAAAGTGTATTTGCGTATAGAGTTGGTCAGTACTCGAGTAAATTGTACTTGAGAACTCAAAGTACTCAGTAATTGGAACTCGTGAGTACTTTTATCCTGATGAGACTCAGTACTCAAAATATTTCGAGTACTTTTCATTTTAGAGTACTCAGTATTCCTGATTCCTACAGTTTACGAGTAACGAGTACGAGTGCCGACGCTCGACAGTCCCAGGCAAGCCTTGGATTGTCTTGTTTGTTGTGTCTTATTCCAAATGGCTTAATATGTTAACAGAAGTAAGATAATTGAATAACCTATTTTTAAAACACTTTTCAAACATTTTAGCAAAATTGGAGATAACACTTAAGGCTTTGTTACCTTTTTTGAAAATTGGAGTGATTGTTGATATTTTAAAATGTGAAGGTACTATACTGGTTACAAAAGTTCTATTTATTATATGGACTAGGGGATCTAAGAGAAGTTTGTGATATTTTTTTATTAGCCTTGATGTAATGCCATCATAGCCCTGGTGCGCTGTTATTTTTTAAGCTGTTAATATGCAAAATTATTTCTTCATTGGAAACAGGTTTTAAAGCCATGAAGTGTACAAATTTGGGGTAGTTCACAATATTCTGGTAGTTAGGTTGTTTAATTTTTGCATACATGTCAGTTCCTACATCTTCAAAAAATCTATTACAGAAATTAGCCATTTCAGTATCGTCTCTAAAGGGTTCATTATTACTATTTGATATACTTATATTATTGTTGGTTTTATTTTCTCATTTGTGGCATGAGCAATTATTTTATAATTTTTTTTCATATTATAAGATTATTTTTATAATTTTTATATTCTTGTAATAAATTAGCATTATTTTTATTTTCAATTACAAGTATTTTTAATTTATCTCTTTGTTTAATATATTTAAGGAGTCAAAATTTTTTTGGCACTACATATATTAACATGAAAAATTTTTAGCTGATTTTTTAAAAACCGCTTCAGCACAATATTTGTTATACTGACCTAAGTCATATCTTTGGTTTACAATACTTAAAGGCTTGAGTTTCTTCAAGTTCTATTTCATTTAAAATATCTAATATGGATAGTCTAATATTATTTATGCGTTTATACAATAAATCAATTAAAAAAGCTCAGGATAACTAATATCTATTTTGTATTGATGTTTGATAATTTTTAATTAGATAACAAGTCACAGGTTTCAGACTATTAAAAATTTACTATACCTTTTAAATTACTTATTACCAACTAAATTATATAATTATTAAAAATTAAAAGATAATTACCCACATTCCTGCTAAACCAGTTCTAGTATATTCAGAATCAATTTCCCTAATATTCAGCAGATGTTTCTTTAAGGAAAATACAACCAAAAGCAATCCTTGTAGTCGAAGTGACTTTAATTTAATGTAATCACATTGAAGAAGTTCTTTGCATGTATATGTCCATGGATCATCAAATAAAGTATCCAATAGCATATTTTGGGGTTGGGCCTTAACTTCTTGGAATCCGAGCACAAATAAATCTGGACGATTCTCATTTTTCTTGTCGCTTATTGATAATAATTCTCTAAGATCTTGATCAGGAGTACTAGTCCCTACATTATAGGTGGAGAAATAGAGCCTAAAAAGAAATGTTAGCTATTTACCACAGAACAATAATAAATTTACCTTAAATTGTCCATTTCAAAATCTAATGGAGAAAATCAACAATACTTTATTACGTGTTAGGAAAATAAATAAATCAAATCAATATAATTAAATTTTCAATGCCAAATTTTAGATGACACTTGTTAACAGTGTTACCAGAGCACTCTGAAGGAATGTAATAGATGAACTCCCAAAATTGTAATAAATTTCAAGAAAATGTAATAGAAATTATAATGAACCTAAAATGAACTATACATAAAAAATAGATTCATTTTATTGATATTGATAATTAATGTTTTATGTTTTTAATAACTTATATAATGCAGCACGAGGATATTTTTGTTCCACATTCTTATAGTTTTAATTTTGTTGCAACAGCAGACTTGTTCTGAATTTATCTGCGCATGAATAATACCTGTAGCTGTAGTACGATTTAAGTTCTACCCTTCGTACTACTCATGCGCAGATAAATTTAGAACGCTTCTATACTGGGGTTGAAACAAACCTTTTATTAGGAAAATGAAGGAAAAACAAATTCGGCCTCCAATGAAAGGTCCAATGATATAAGAAACTTTTTAAGTGCTTTGGGCATGCTCAAGAAAATATGTTTGGCATGAACCTAATCAAAGAAACATGTTTGGGATGGGATTAGTTGTATAAAATAATAAACCAATAAAATAAAGACTCGGTGGTTAGGTTCATGTTAGATTCAAGTTCATCAATTGTTCGAAGCTCGTGAAAATGTAATAGATTTATTGGACATGTAATAATGTAATAAATCCTTCATAAATGTAATAGATTTGTTACAATTGTAACAAACTGGCAACACTGCTTGTTAAAAACATGACATTGACAATTGAAGGTAAAAGAAAAACATGGTCCCTTTAGACTTTTTCAAACAAAATAAATTCTCGCCTTTTAACCTTTTCTAACTCATCAAACTAAATGTGACGCCTGCTTGTTTAACATAACAAGAACTGTCAACCCAAAACGAACAAACCACTCATTCTGAACAAACTAACAATGTGCATTCTTCGATGTATTACAACTAGACAAAATATTTGTCAAATCACCGACTTCTCAATTAGTACCCATTTACACGAAAATGTTATATATCAACATTGGGATTCTCATCTTTTAATACGGCACGTGTTGAGACGTTCGTTCCACAAAATGCGATTCTTATGTAATGTCTCTCTATTTGATTCGTTACCTATTGAGTTCGCACATAAGAATCCTCCTGGTTTTGAGCAAAAACGATGCACAACTGTCGGGCTCATGCGTAGTATATAAAAAGCTTCTGGTTTTTCTGGGACTACTTCTGATCTTGTACTATGAGAGAGAGAGAGAGAAAATATATGTTTATTGTCCAAGTTAAAATACTTTTTGACAAACACAATATTGTACAAATTACAAATAAATAGTCATAAAAACACAATATTGTACAAATAGTATACAAATTACAAATAAATAGTCATTAAAATATAAACAAACATTATTATAAATTAACAATAATACATACATGTAAAATAAAATAAAACAAAACAAAATAAAACACATATCACAGTGTCTCGTCATTATAAAATTCTATAATATTATAATAAGGCCTAGTTAACAGACATCTCTTGAGCACATTTCTAAAACAATTCTGTGACTCAACATCTGTCAACGTATGTGATAGCCTATTGTACATTTTGATACCATATTGTATATAAAAGAGTCTCTTATTAGTTCAGTTTTGGGAATAGGCAACTTCAAGTTACCCGTTTGGCGAGTTACACGGGATGTATTCGATTTATATTTCGACTTGTTCTTATGGATCATGCAACAAGTTTCTAAGATAAATAAAGATGTTAATGTTAATATTTCTTGTTTTAAGAACAGCGGTCTGCATGAAACTAATCTGTGTGCTCCACATAAGAACCTTATTGCCCGTTTCTGCATTATAAAGACTCTGTCAAATAACTCGGCAGAACAGACTCCCCAAAACTGAACAGCATAACGTAAATGGGAGTCAATTAACGCATAAAGAAAATCAAAGTATGTGCATACATTGCGTTCGGTCTGCCAAGTTCCTTTAACCCCTTTAACACTTTTAACTCCAAACGACCCTTTTACCGTTAGGTTTAGTCCGATTAGTGACAGTTTAACACGCTTAAATGTCATTTAAAAGCACCCTAAAATTTGTCCCGCTCCAGCCCCTGACTGACCGAACTCGCCTATAATATGCAGTTTTTGCTGCACAAACTCCCAATTCATGAGAGGTGGTTCTAATGACATAACAACCCGATGCGAGTTTTTTTAAAAGTGAATCCACATGAGATTTGAATTGTTCAATGCGCATGCGTCTGACGTCCTTCTGATGATCTGAACAGGGATTCTTATATACGTACCCAACACGTGACGAATATAATAGAAAAAGACATTACATACGAATCGTATTCTGTGCCGAATTGAAATATAAGAATTTCAATGCAGATTAGCTGATGGAACAAACCTAATATTTGCAACTATATCCTTTGTTTGGGTATTCGTTTGGCTATAGATGGTCTTGGATGTATATTAGGAATAGGCAACTTATTTTACGGAAATACTGAATGAGTGGTTGCGTTTATGATGTCAATAATAACATTGTATATAAGATATTTTGCCGCTTTGAGAATCCACATCGGATGCATTTTTTACATTTCGAGCGTTTTTTTATCCACTATCCACATCGGACACATCTGTCCCATTACATTTACGTATACTGAATCACGTGATCAAAGATTTACTAAATCTCAGATGCATCCGATGTGGATTCTCAAACGCGGCAATATTTATACAATGATAATAAGAATAAAACCTTGTCCTAAACCCATATAAACTGCTCGTCAAAAATTAGGGATATTAGTAGTTTTCTTTTTACAGATATACTTGCCTAACTAAAAGTTAGATTCTGATCTAAGCTAAAAGGCGATTTTAAAATGAGGATACTGTCTTGAATATGAATGACTATACTGATATAAAATCAAAAACAATGACGTCCTATTGAATATTGTCTTGAAATGGTCAGGTTTAACATGACTACAGTAAAAACATGGCCATCACAGGTATGAAATGTCAAATGAAATGACAAATCTAAAACTTTTACTTTTTAATCATTAAATAATTGTTTGGTTGTGTTATTTGTAAAATCGAAAGAAAGGCTGAGTATATAGCCGGAGAGCTAGTAACACACATTTCATTAAGTGTTTGATGCACTTTGAAATTTTGTAATTTGAAATCATTTGGATGGAAAAGCAGATATACCTGTGCGTTGGCTAGACCCAACCCAAGACATCAGGTACTGCGCATAATAGAAAGGGGTCGTAAAATATGACCCAAAAAAAGTGTTTGATTCAGAGGCCAACAAACAACAATTGAAAGTTTAGGTAATTCTAAAAATACTAGTAATTTAGGCAGACACTTTTGAGAGGGTTTATAATTTATAAATCAATCCCAAAGTTGATTTTTTTTAAATATGATTTGAAGTGTTTAAATCACGCTGAAATTTTAATAGTGTCTTAATTAAATATAAAAAAAAATAATTCCAAAAAGGCAGACACTTTTTCCGGGGTTTAAAATTTGGATAGTGTGGATATAGCAAGTTGGTGGTTCGAGCCCCGAAACTTTTAGTTTTTTTTTTGTTTCTTTTCCTAAAAAAAGACAAAATATTATTATTTTATTATTTAAAATGTTTAGTTTTTAAAAAGTATATATTTATTCAATGCATAATGGCGCATAACGAGGTTCATTCATTTTTATGTTGGCCGGCAATTAAACCCCGGAAAAAGTGTCTGCCTTTTTGGAATTAATTTTTTTATATTTAATTAAGAGGCTATTAAAATTTTAGCGTGAATCAAACACTTCATATTTAAAAAAAATCAACTTTGGGGTTGATTTATTAGTTATGAACTCTCTCAAAAGTGTCTGCCTAAATTACTAGTATTTTTAGAATTACCTAAACTTTTAATTGTTGTTTGTTGGCCTCTGAATCAAACACTTTTTTTTGGGTCATATTTTGCGACCCCTTTCTATTACGCGCAGTACCTGGTGTCCCGGGGTGGGTCTAGCAACACAGGTATATCTCCTTTTCCATTCAAATGATTTCAAATTACAATATTTCAAACACTTAATGGAATGTGTGTTACTAGCTCTTGGACTAATATAGGGTTGTCAGATTTATGAAAGGGAAAAGTGGACGACGACGACGACGACGACGACGACGACGACGACGACGACGACGACGACGACGACGACGACGACGACGACGACGACGACGACGACGACGACGACGACGACGACGACGACGACGACGACGAGATCTAAAAAAAAGGTCCTCCGCTTACCTATATTTTTATAAACCGTCAGGTCCTTTTCTGAGAAGCTTTTCAAAAAAAAGTCAAAAATTTCTTTATTTATCTTTGAATTTTAAAAGCGTAGCATTTACTCAGTGAATGGCAACTGAATCACAAAGTGACTGGAATTTGTCCTGAGCAATATTGACATTGTAGCTCTTTTAGTGTTAACCCATAGTTAATACGCTAAAGGATAAATGAAGGCATTCAAAACTTTACAGGCCTATGAGTCAGGATTTGTATTGAACACTACATGTCAACATTATATCATTACTAAAACTTAACTCAATAATATTGTAGGTCTAGTTCTAATTTTTACCTATATTTTTTAAAGTATTATTCATACATACCTATATATTAAGGTAGTTCACTCGTAAAACGGCCTTTCTTAAGAATTCAATAAAATTGAAATATAAGGTTAATGAAAGTGTCTTTTATGTATCTTAAAAAAATAAAAAATTTTGACCGTCTGTAAAACGAGATATTAACTATCAAATTGTGCATAATTAACACTCTTGAAGCCCTGTCATGTACACAATCATTGCATTTATTTCAAGATATCTCGACAACGGTTCCTACTATGTTTTTTAAAAACTAATGTAAAGTAAATCAAGAAGTTATAAAATTTTCTAAAGAAACGCTGAATTTTTTTACCGTTCTGATAAAGGAATATAGATTTTTAAAATAAAAATGTTCTTAAAGCAGTCGACGCATAGTGGCGTATTGTGATTACAACATGGCAACGTTGTAATCGATACACTCAACGCCCGCTAATTCAAATGTCTGTTAGATCAGTGCTTCCCAACCTTTTTATTGCTGCGGACAAGTCAAGTTTATCACTTCATCGAGGCGTTCTGGCAAGGGACGTTGTTTATACTTTAGGTTGATATGATTTAACAATTTAAATTTAATTGTATTTAAACATGTCTTCAAAATTAAATAAATATGCAAAAGATGAATATAATTTTATTTAAACATGCCTTCAAAATAAAATACAGTTACACAAAAAAAATTAATATAAAGTAATTTAAAATTTTAACTTACTAATATGAGGAAGTCATAAAAAAATACAAATAAAAGTAATGATTTTCTGTAGTATTGATGATATCGTAGGAACGTTCATTACAGCAAGAAATTTATTTAAAGCAGTTTGACCAAACCCTGAATGGACAGCACCTTTAAATAAATAAAATTATATTAATTATAATAAAAAAATACTTATGTATTTTTTTTAAATTTACCTAGAACTGCTTTAGTGTTGACATCTGAATGCTTAACTTCACTTTTTGTTGCATGAACTTTGTCCGTAGGTACCATAGTTTCAATATTACATTCATTACATTTAACATTTAAAATTGAATAAAGGCCCTTTCGTGTTTCAATTGTAATATTTTCAAGAGAAAGAACTCTCACACCAGCAACATTTTAAATGTTTTCTAGTAATTCCACGATGCGACCACTGCACAGGTTATTTTTCAAGCTTGGGGTTTCCTTTCTCAATTTTTTGCATTATTCATAGCCAAAATTGATTTTTGCGTTTGTTGAGGACGTTCTGCTTAACAAATTTTCCTTTATCTTGCAATTAATTGATTTTGACAATGAAACATTTTGATATTTACATTTATTTTACTTTAGGAATACAGTTGTCGTTTAACAATATATTTGCGACGTTGCCGGATGGATTTTACGCGATATAATACCATATTTTTTGTATATAGGATCACATGTGTTGTGTGTACAGTCTGTTACAAAAATAACCTTTCTTCAGATTTAAGAATCTCGAACGGTTGGTATTCACTATAGGTAAGGTGACCATTTTTTTCTAAACTGAAACCAGGACAATATGAATTTTAATTAAACTTAAGTAAATAAAAAACTTGATATCAAAAATTGTTGCGTTTATTTCAACAATAAATATGAAAAATTAAAATATCATTTTACAATATAAAAAAAAAATAAAACAATAATCAACACATCTCATTTAGTTTGATTTTTCATATATTTTTCTGAAGAATGAATTGTTTTTAACAAATATTCGTTTTCCTGAATATTTCCATAGAATTCCATACAGCTTGCACTTAAATTATTTTTGACTGTCAACAAGGATTTTAAAGTTTTTACATTCAGTTGGGTTTTTTCGCTAGTCCAGTCCAGATATTGTTTAATAAAGAAAAAACCTGTTCGGTAGGTTAGTTCCTGGCATACAGAGACAATACTCTACCAATTTGCCAATATTATTGTGTGAAACATCATTTTCATTAAAAGTTTTAAAAATTTTAATCCACCTGTCTGATACCAAAACACAATTTTGATTCCAATGCCCAAGGTTCTCATCTGAGGTGTAGCTCTGAACGAAACCGATTGCATGAAAGAGCTCATCTTCAATTAAGTTTATTTCCGGATAATATCAAAGTAGATAATCACTACATTCTTGAATAATTTGATATGTAGGTTTTATGTTTAGTGTAATCCAATTAAATCTCTCGATTCCCTCAAAATGGTCTTCCCATTCATCCAGATACTAAAAACACGTACTGTAAAATTTCAGCACTTTCTCTTTGAAAATATTTGATTTAACTAAGCCTTCTTATTTGTCCAGCTTTTTTAAAATTTGGTAAACTTGCAGGAGAAGAAACACATATGCTATGCTGTCAGCAATTTTAGTTTTAAGGTCCTTATAAATGATGCTTGTTTCCAACATAGAAATATTGTGTCCCTTTATCTTTAAAACCGTGTTGTGAAACATTGCTGACACATTATGGATAAAGAAAGGCCAAGATTCGGTTTTAGGATTCTCAAAATAATTTTTAATAATTGTCGGAATTTTTTTATTAGATATAAAATACGATTTTAATGCAGGAAATATTTCTAAAACGCGCTCTATAGCTGGTCGTAACGCTAACCATCGCTTAGCACTGTAATCCAGAAGTTTTTTATATTCTATGTCTACAAAATTATTTTAATTCACTGACGCGCACAGTATAAATGTAAAAATAGGAGTAAATTTTGGTTTAACGTTTTAAAACCAGTTTTCGTGTACTGGTTTTGTTTAATGACTAACCAGGACTTATTCCCTGAAAACAGTACTGTACTGGGGTGGGATTCCGTTTTGTGTCGAGTAACTCGATCTCGATACGATTCATAATTCGATCGAATTATGAAAAGCAATTCTATCTGATTTGACTTCGGAAATCTTCGACTCGGATTTGATATCAAACTCCATAATTGCAATTCCGTTCAACGAAATTCGACAATAAACTCTATAAAATAACTCGATAGCTCTAGAGTAGTCGATTCGATATCAAATCATTAAAGTTGAATTTTTTTGACATTAGGTATGAACCTTTCCTGCAGCAATGTGCCTTTTCTAAATAACCTCTCTTGCATTAAGGACCTTATTTTCTCTATTAGGTATATACGGGGTCATTATACTATTTCATAGGAACAGTATCTGTATTTGTAACGTGTGAAGGGTGGGTTAACTCATGGCACTTAGGCCTTACTAGGCCCATTGTGAAATCTCCCAATTAGATAGGTACCTACTAGCTCGTGAGCCAGGGACAGTATTGCTATTTCTTAAACGCTAACAAATAGAAAAATGGTTGAATTTGACAAAAGTTGCGCAGTTTTGTGCTTATTAAAATGGTGCCAGAAAACATTTGATATCTACAAAGAAATTCAAAATATCTGACAAAAAACGAATGAATGAATTTAAAGAAATTACAATTTTAATTTTTTGTCCGATATTTTAAATCTCCCTCTAGATATCAAAGGTTTCTTGGCACCATTTTAATAAGCACAAAACTGCGTAATTTTTCTCTAATTTAACCAACCTTATATCTGTTAGCTTTTAAGAAATATTAACACTGTCCCTATGAAATAGTAGGGACTCTGCATACTACTTGAAACATCAATAAGAGGATTTATTAATTACATAAAACGCTACAAAATATAATTTAATAAAGGTAGGTAATCTTTATTCAGCCAAAAAAGCTATCCATAGCGATTTTCAGAGAGTTCGAAAGGATCGCTTCTTTCCCTTAGGTCATTCTTTCTTTTGCACAAAGCACAATAATATTAAATAATAATCTTTTTACAATTTACCCCATTACGAGTGATTCCTGCAAATCTGAAAGCATATAGCTGGTATCATGGAGAGACAACCGTATAATAATAATACTCTCCCTAATTCACCCCCTTACGAGTGAATTTTAACCCCAAAAACTGAGCTTGTGCGGGGAAAGGGACGGCTATTATTATTATTTGCCGTGGTGCTCCGGGGCGACTTAAAGATGATTGATGGTGCCATTTCACTTACAGGTGAGGAAAACCCGAAAATCATCGAAAACGGTAATGCATGGTGATTTTATTTTAATAAGCTGGATGTCATATTAACAGAAATTAAATTTCTGCTAATATGGCATCCATCAAATGCTATAATGAACCATGCAAATAAATTCACATGGTCTTCCGTAGGATCTGAAACCGTGTCTCGTTTTACCAGGAAATTGGCTGACAAATGAATGCCGCGTCGTAGACACCTACACCACCGTAGTCGAGTATTATTATTATTTGCCATGGCGCTCCAATGGAACTTACAGATGGTGTCATCTAACTTATAGGAGGATACCCAGAAAAAACCCAAGCATCATCATAAAAAAATAAATTGAATCAGTGAGTGAAAGAACAGTACAAGTGCCAAAAACGGTAATTTTAACTGAGATAGGCAAATTGTTTAAAATTCATAGGCCTATCACATAGCGAAAGAATAATACACAGACCAACATCATACGAGCGATGGGGGCTTGTTCAATTTTCGGTTGAGTGAAAGAACAGTACAAGTACGGCGTATGTACTGTTTTTTCACTCAGTAGCCATGTCGTTTCGTAGACAAATTTAACACAGATTTCAAAAACTCGTGGTCGCACTTTCATAAAAAACCTCTAAATCAGCTGATGAACAAAAAGCTAATTTTGTCATTCCACAGTACAGCCAGTTTACATACACTGGTAAAACTTCTGGATATGTTACTACAAGTGCCTTCATAGGCGGTTTTCTCTCGCACACTTTTATGTGTGGGGCGCATTAGACTGATATCAAACCTAATGCCAATCTGCAGTTACCCTTATGGCGGGCATACACGCTACGGTCTGTCTGTGCAGGTATGCAGGTATGTTTAGACGGGACCGGTTTTTGAATCATACTGTATATATTTTATAACAACCATAATTTATCTAGTCTATTATTAAATGCGATAAAAATAAATAAAATTGTGTTAATAAAAATTTACTTCTTAGGTCATACTGAAAATATTCTTTGATATCGGAAATAATTATTCTTGGAAATTATCTGTAATCAAAATATTTTGTTAAGAAGCACGGTCTTTTAAAAAAATGTTTTTTATGTAAAAAAACTATTCGTATTATTGAATTGTGTCCATGAACAGTATTATTTAGGGAGTCGATAACTAATTGCAATCCAAACAAATTCATTAAATTTCACCAGTCTATTCCTCCAACAGCTGGCTCTTTTCCACAGAAAAGGATTTTCCTTTTGATGATGATTTAGATTTCCGCGCAATGCGCAGAAGCTCAAAGAGCTGTGGGAAATCGATTTTTCATGTAGGTAGGTATCTTTGTGATGTGACAAGTGAGGCAAGTCATAATATCAAGGTGGAGAAAAATATACCATTATTAAATTATGTAGGTAGGTGAGATTCATATTACCTAATGATTTCAGAAACTGAAACACTATTTCAACTTTACACGCACATATCAGAAACATTATTTATAAATTCTTGATTTTTCCACGAAAATTTTATCTTATTGCGGTTTCTTACATCTATTATAATTGTTAATTTGCTAGTGGTTTTTTATCACCTAGCAAAAATGATTTATCAGGTACAAATTAAAAATTATAGGTATATTTATTATAAAATACAAGATTTGAAATAGAGGTTCATTTATGGTATTAAATAATAAAATAAGTATTAAAAGTTATTTTAAAAAATCGACTTCAAAATCGTGCAGATGCTATCACTGCATCTCGACCAAATTTATATGGGACCCCTAACAAAAAAAAAAGTTTCATTGAAATCGGATAATGTGCTAAAGAATAATCGCTGAACATACAAAAAAAATAAAGAGTTTGAGGATTCTCTCACGGACCCAATTATTAGATTTTGACCAAATGTATATGGGACCACCCCTAAAGTATCCCCTTTCTAACAAAACAAAAAAGAATCATTGAAATTGGACACTAAGAATTATCGCTGAACATACATAAAAAAAAAATATTCCGACGAATTGAAAACCTCCTCCTTTTTTGAAGTCAGTTAAAAATATAATTTATACTCAATTTTAATTTAAACTTCTTGGATATTATTAAAAATGTAAAAATTACTATAAAATAGAAATAAACAGAAATATATTCAGAGTTCTAAAAATATCTATATAAGAAAATTTGTGTTGGTCTTCTTTAATCATGTTCCGAATAAGATGATTATTTTTTCTGTAACTGCGGTTTTTGGCATAGGATCTCGAAAACTGTCATTTAAAATAAAATAATTATGTCCACGCCTCTACGGCCACTTTTACGATTTTGGTTTTAATACTAGTAATTAAAATAGTTTCATATAGTTTGAATAAAATTAAATTTTTGTTTCAAAATATGGTTCAAATAAAAATATAAATGCTATTATTTACGATTATTTATCGATTCTACACAAAAATAACTCATTTTAATGTATATTTAATCTTAATAATTAAAAAATATACTAAAAATTAGTTTGACAGGATTCACTTATTTAACATTTTAAAACTAATAGTAGTTGGTGTCCAAAATATGAACTGTGATTGGTACATTTAATTTTTTTTGCAGTGTTCTCACTACCTAGAATGGATATGAAATATATTCGTTCAGCTGAATGCAATAACATACTTTCGTTATGTAGTCTGTGCGTAGGTAAGCTAATCTCATGTGGATGTAGAAAATAGTAGTTTGTGCAACAAGAGTGGATATGATGGTCATATCGCACAAAGACGAAATTTGACCATGACGCCGTAGGCGGACTGCGACGTGGACAATCCACTTGAGTTGTACAGAATATTTTTTCTACGACCCACTAACAAAAATTTACAAATAAAAAATATTTTAGGTTATAAAGGTTATTTTAACTTTAAAATTATTTACGACTTTTAATAATTTTTAAAATAAAATAAAATAAACGATTCATTTCATTTTTCCCCATCCGAGAATCGAATTCGAGTCTTCAGTGTGGAAGGCAAAAACACTAACCACAGGACCACCTATTCTTTTATTTTTGTTGCTTTACTACTCGTAATTAAATTGACTTCATATAGTTTTATTTAAATGAATAAATTATTTATAATTTTTTTATTGTATCATCGGCATCAACTGCTACGGTTATTAGCCTCATGTTCTGTGTAGGCTTTGTTACTGTTTCCGAGCGCCACTTTAGGAACAGCACTGTTAATTAGTACCCAACAGTGAATGGTCGAGTGGGGAATCCTACCAAGTCAAAATAAAAACAGAAATGCTATTATTTATCGGTTCTACAAAAAAATAACCCATTTTAATCTCCATAACTAAAAAATATATAGACAATTAGTTTGACAGAATTGTAACTTATTTAAAATTTTAAAAATAATAGCAGTCGGTCGATCATAATATGAACGGTGATTGGTGGATTTCATTTTTTTGCAGTGTTCTGACTATCTTGAATGAATATTTCATATATTCCATGAATGCTTTAATATCTTATATTAATGCAATTTAAATTGTTTTAACGAAGTGTTAATTCCATAGTATACTTGATTGTCATTATTAAATTCTAGGATATCTACATTTTCATGTTTAGTAGCTGCATTTTTATTTAATACATACATTAATTTTATAATAATTCAAAAATTGACCAACATATATTTGTAACGAATCTGTTAGTATTATTTAACAAGTATTTTAAAGTTTATATTTAATAGCCATTTAAAAGAACATATAATTTTTTCTATAAGATAAACATATTGTTACTTCAGCACAAAATTTATATTAAAATTTACATCTAAAATGTAAAAGAGATAAATATCACTTTCCTTGAATAATATTATATATTCAATGTTTATAAAGTTACAATATTAGAGAAACTTAAAATATAATACGAATAAACACAGAACAATAAATAATAATAACCCTGCATAAATATTATTTGTAAATTTTTGTCAGCTCTTTTCTAGATTAATAATAATATGCTCCATGTCCGACAATCAAGCCTTCTGTTATATAGTCTTAGAATCACATATTATGTCAAACGGATTATGTGAGAAAATTGTGGTAATTTGCATATATTTTTCCAGCAACTTTCCTATGTTCTGAAAATTTGAAGACTACGCTCTACACTCAAGTCATTATTTTTTTGTGTGTGGGCTTTTAAATTCATAAGTTTTTTATTGCAAAAAATTTCGTTGATGGGAAAATAACTGAAAAATTGAAAAAAATTCTGTTAAATTTTTTAACCCCAAAATGAACTTGCCCACTCATGCCACTCAAGTCAATACAACCAATATGTTTTTCGGGCTAGTGACGACGTAAGTTTTCAAACTCTCGATTGGCTTGTGTGGAAAAATCAGTAAAATATCAATTTTTCCTTACAAAAATACGACCTTATTTTAACTCTTTGGCCACTTGCCACACTAAAGCCTTTGGTTTTCCGAAGCCAAGTTTAATTAATTAATCATTCAGTGAACACGGCTTGCGTGGAAATATGAGCAAACAACACTTTTTATTTCTGTTAAGGAAAATATAATTTTCCATATGTTATCCCCAGGGGCAACTTGTAAATTTCCTTTCACTCTACTCAACATCGATGTACTTTTCAACCCTCTTCGAGGCTTGTATGCGAAAATGGGACACCGGTGGATATTGAGACCGAAATAGACAAACTGACAAAAGCAATTACCCTAGCTAGAGATCGTTCAACATCCTTAAGACACATCATACTCCACTAAGAAGTACTCCCGGACGATATCCTTCAAATGATAAACAACAAAAATAATATTAGAAAACGATGGCAAAGAGACAGACAGAGGGAAGATAGAATAAGGCTGTTGGACATCGCCAAGACAATAAAAAAGGAAATAAGTAAAATCAGGAAAGAAAAATGAGGAAATCTGCTCAGGAAACTCAAGATAAATGACAACTCTCTGTAAAGATTTAAAAAAGGGAACAAAAAACCATTTGCGCAACTTTCCACATTGGTAAACAATAACGCAACTTACGAGACAGACGCTCAAAAGGGGGAAGCATTTGGCGGGTACTTTGCAAGTAATTTTTGAAATAATATACCTAATAATGTACAACAGCAACTCATTGAGGAAATTGTACCCACAAACAAACTAACTAGCTCTAAAAAGGTGATAGAGACAGTATTGAAATTACGTAACCGTTAAGCCCCGGGACTGGATGATATAAACGGTGTTATGTTAAAAAACGTTTCAAAAAAGACATTTGTACAACTGCATTACATAATAAATGCTGTTCTGAAATTGCAATACTACCCTAAGTTATTAAAAAAGGCTAATGTAATTCCCATTAGGAAACCGAAGAAAAACTCCAAACATATTGAGTGTTACCGCCCCATCTCCCTACTCAATACTATTTCTAAAACAATAGACTCTATAATACTGCAAAGCCGTATGCATAGTCGATTGCCAGCAGCGTTGCCAGATTTTTTTTTATTATGTAGTAGTCGACTCTCGAAATTGTAGTAGATCCGACAAAAATGTAGCAGATTTTTTAAAATGGTTATTATTTAAAAAAAAAGGCGTTGGCACTAGTTTTTTTTATTACAACATAAAACTAAAATACCGTATGTAAAATAAAAATATAATTCTAAAAAAGTAAACAAAATAATAACTGATTTTAAAAACTTAAAAAAAAATTCATATATTTTAAAAATATATATCTAAATATAAGATGATGAGTATGGCTAAAACTAATCTACAGATCATACTAGATAGTTTCAGTGTCGATGTATTGAATAGGTTGTGCAGCTAGTGCTACATCTGGTAAATCAGTGTCTTGGTTTTGTTTTGGATAGACGTTTCTTTTTAAAATTTCGTCGTTTGACGTAAAATTATAACAAACCTTGTTACAGTCTGATACATAATATTTTGCATGTAATAAATTTTGACAGGTTTCAATAAGTAAAGTGAAAATATTCGTTCAGCTGACGCCGAGGAATGCAATAAAGAAAAAACAAGTTGTAACAATTATTAAATTTGGAAACTGAAAATCGTTATTGCCATATTTTTGGCATAACAAAAGACACCAAAAGGTTTCTAAGTCATCTACATGTGTTTCCATTTCTTTTAAGTCAGGGATACTTCTCCATTCTAAATTAAGTTCTTCAATATTTACTTTGTCTTTTAAAACAGGAAAGCAATAAAGAAGTTTAGTTAAGCAGGAATGTTGCCAGCAGAGTACACAATTTTTGGTAAAACGTTTAAATTTTCTAATAATGTGTTCTTAAAAGGAAAACGATTTTTAATTTGAGTACACAGCTCTGTATAAAATGCCAAGCATTTATGTTTAAAACTTTGTATATCATTTTCTGTTAAAAAAATCTTTATTTTTTCTATATATTCTTCAACGTACGCCCCAAAATACATAGACGAAGGGTATAGCTGAAT